CACAATAACCCATAGGCCGGCAATCACGAGCATTGGAAAAAGAATAAAGCCACGTAGATGGCCATATGTGTATATATATTGTCGAGCCGAACGGCCCATTACCATGTTAGTTATGCAGTCAAGGTTGCTCAATGCGCCTGAGCAAAAAATTAAATGACGTTCGGCATGGGTTCAGAAGACGTTCCAAACCGGATAAAGAAAGGGGCCGCGAGACGTTCGTACTTCCCCAAGAGGCCGAGGGCCAGGAGGAGACCGTCGCGGGCAATAACCGTGAGACGAACATCTCCACACCAGGAGCCGATGGCCCAGAGGAGACCATCGCGACCGAGGGCCGTGAGACCATCCTTACATCACGACCGACCTCACGGAACGGCGTGTTTACACCTTGGAGACCGGTATCATCCCTGCGCCGCGCGAACGAGGGCCGTTGCATGGAAACACTTGATCAGCCCCTCATGACCGACACACGTATATCACGAACGGCCTCTCGGCTCGGCATACATCACCATATTCAGAGACCCCTCAAAAAAAGCAAAAAAAATCAGAGGGGCACTGGGGGAATCCCCAAAGGGGATAAACCCGTTCCTCATCACAATCGCAACCGAGCCCAGCTCAGGATCCAAAGGACCGGGCCGAATGGGCAGGTAAGCGAACGGATGAAGGAACAAAGATTCCATCCAGCTCAGAAATCGGCCCCCAGCGCAGACATCATTTCATGGCCACCGACCCCCTGGTACGGTGCCATCATCATATTTGAAGACCGGCCTCACCCCCGCTCCTCGCGGCTGAGGATCGTTGATTATTTCAGACCGGCTCCCACCGTTGTCATCATTTCATGGCCACCGACCCCCTGGTACGGTGCCATCATCATATTTGAAGGGCGGCCTCATCCCCGCTCCTCGCGGATGAGGACCGTTGATTTATTCTTTCAGATCGGCCCCAGCGCCGACATCATTTCATGGCCACCGACCCCCTGGTACGGTGCCATCATCATATTTGAAGGGTGGCCTCATCCCCGCTCCTCGCGGATGAGGACCGTTGATTTATTCTTTCAGATTGGCCCCAGCGCCGACATCATTACATGGCCACCAACCCCCTGGTACGGTGCCATCATTATATTTGAAGACCGGCCTCGCACCCGCTCCTCGCGGATGAGGACTGTTGATTATTTCAGATCGGCTCTCAGTGCCGACATCACTACATGGCCACCGACCCCCTGGTACGGTGCCATCATCATATTTGAACACCGGCCTCGTCCCCGCTCCTCGTGGATGAGGACCGTTGATTATTTCAGATCGGATCCCACCGCCGACATCATTTCATGGCCACCGACCCCCTGGTACGGTGCCATCATCATATCCGAAGGACGGCCTCGTCCCCGCTCCTCGCGGATGAGGACCGTTGATTTATTCTTTCAGATCGGCTCCCAGCGCCGACATCATTCATGGACACAGACCCCCTGTTACGGTGTCATCATCATATTAGAAGACCGGCCTTGTCCCCGCTCCTTGCGGATAAGGACCGTTGATTTATTCTTTCAGATAGGCTCCCAGCACCGACATCAGTACATGGCCACCGACCCCCTGGTATGGTGCCATCATCATATTTCAAGACCGGCCTCGTCCCCGCTCCTCGCGGATAAGGATCGTTGACTATTTCATATCGGCTCCCACCGCCGACATCATTTCATGGCCACCGACCCCCTGGTACGGTGCCATCATCATATTCGAAGGGCGGCCTCGTCCCTGCTCCTCGAGGATGAGGACCGTTGATTTATTCTTTCAGATCGGCTCCCAGCGCCGACATCATTCATGGACACCGACCCCCCTGGTATGGTGCCATCATCATATTAGAAGACCGGCCTTGTCCCCGCTCCTTGCGGATAAGGATCGTTGATTTATTCTTTCAGATCGGCTCCCAGCGCTGACATCATTCATGGCCACCGACCCCCTGGTACGGTGCCATCATCATATTTGAAGACCGGCCTTGTCCCCGCTCCTTGCGGATAAGGACCGTTGATTTATTCTTTCAGATCGGCTCCCAGTGCCGACATCATTCATGGCCACCGACCCCCTGGTACGGTGCCATCATCATATTCGAAGACCGGCCTTGTCCCCGCTCCTCGCGGATGAGGACCGTTGACTTATTCTTTCAGATTGGCTCCGAGCACCGACACCTTTATATGGCTGATGGATATGTGTACCCGAGGGGTATCTATCTGAGGGGTTATTACGGAGAATAACTAGAGAGAAGTCAGAGCAAGTAAGAAAGAGAAAGTGTATTGAATATGTAAGTTAAGGCTTTTTTGAGCGTGGTTTACAACGGGGAAATGGGGTTCTATTTATAGTAGCAATAAATGCCAGACAGGGACACGTGTCAAGCATCCATTGGCCGAGGGGTCACCTCAACTGGTTGGCGCTGACAATCGCATGTGGCCGCATTTAATGCAGCTGTTGGATGTGACGTCGTACTTGGTACGGTGATCCATGCGCATGTGGAGCGGACATTATGTCGGAAAGGCGCCCTCGGCTGTAGATGATTAGCCGAGGGTTCTGAGCATCGAGGACCTCCTTAGTGCCGAGGGCTCCAGGTGCCGAGGGCTACTGATTTTCGCCGTTTTCTCCTAGTAACTTTGTTTTCCTGATTTGACCCTCCTGTGAGAATCAGAGCCTTCGGCCAGGGGGGTGAAGGCACCCCTGGTGCGCACTGTGGTCCGTTTGGTACTCTGGGCGCTGTGATTTTGGCCTGGGCCTATTGGGCCTTTATTAGAGTAGTAGGAGTCTGTGGACCGGGGGTTCCCGGGCCATATACTCCATGAGGAGTCCCTCACTCCTTTTGCCGAAAGGTACTTGAGGAAAAAGGAGTAATTGTGTTTGTCCTCTGCCGTTGTTCCGTTGTAGTTTGTAGAGTTGTGGGTAGTTTGCTGTTTGTTTATTCTACCGAGGGCAGTCCCTCAGTTACCCACATGTCGGGACTTGAGGGGTCATGTTTGCTGTTTGCGGGAGTTTTTAGCATTTTGCACTTTTTGTGATTTTTCCAGAGGGGGTTCTCCAGTCCCCCACTCCTTGAGGCATTTGCAAAGTGGTGAAAAGGAGTAGAGTAATCATGTTGCTGTATTGGGCCGAAGGCTGACGCTTTTCGTTTCATTTTGGGGGGATGCCTCGTTAAAAACCTCATTAGGAAAAACCCTGTGGGAAAAAATCCTAATGAGGGAAAAAGAGTGCACTGAATTCCCCCAACGATGAATCGAAAATGTGAAGCCCTGGTTTGAAATGGAGTACAATGTTGATGCCGAAGGCTATCCTTGTTCTGAGGGCGCGTGTGTTGATTAACCGGAGGCTTGCTGTTGATATCTTTGGAGGTGCCGAAGGGGAGTCCCTCAATCTAGGGATCGAGGGCGTGATGAATGTGAGTAGTAGTTGGAGTGTTACCGGGAGGTCCCCTGTTTGTTGATCAGTTGGTGAGGAGGGTATCCGAGGGCTCCCGTTACCTGTGTGCCAAAAGCTATCCGTCAATGAGGTGTACTCCCCGGGGGCTACCTGGTCCTCAAAGTGTTGAGGGGGGAATCCCCGAGGGGTGTGCCCGTTATGAAGTCGTGGGCTCATGAAGGAGTAAGCCTGAAGGCATTTGTTATGTAGTATGAGGGGCATGAACCGGGAGCGTCTCTGAGTAAATGCACCGGGAGCTCCTTTTGATGAAGTGGAGTGAAGTAAAAAGCCCCGGGGCTAGTTTCTTGGTTGATGAAGGAGTGGTCTGTGATCATAGCCGGGAGCTCCCAGAATATAGTCGTTGTAAATATAGCCGTTGGAATACCTAATGTCAAAAATATAGCCGTTGGGGGGTGGGGGCTTCCACGTGGTGCGTGCTCGTTGGCCGCCCGTGGGTGGGCGTCACCGATTCGGCAACTCGTCGGTTGGCAATGATGATTTCGTACCGGAGGCCCGGTTTTCAGGCCCAAGCCCGGATTTGGGCGCCTATAAATACCCCAAGGCCAGGCCACTTTTCTCTGTGCGATTTCATTGTAGCGAAGCTCTGCCGGATTTTTCCTAGAGAGAGAAACATTTTCCCTCGATCTAATTCCCGTTCCAAGGTCAGTTCCCACCTGCTCTTCTCCTCTCTAAGTTAGCTGTGCCTTGTGTCCTTAGATTAGGAGTTAGAATTCCGTAGGCAACCCTCGGTGTAGAGTACCGTCCTTGTAGCTGTACCGAGATGTCGTCCCAGAGCGATTCTCAGGACATCTCGAGGGACCCTTCGGTTGAGGATGAAACCGTCTCCGATATGGAGTCCTCCAGTGAGCAGCCTTCAGTGGGGCTTGATGCTGCTGTGGCGATGGAGTTGCAGAGAGCCCTCGTTGCTGAGGTGGAAGCCGAGGGCTTCGAACAAGAGTGCGAGGATGAGGAGCTGGCCATCGCCTGGCAAGCGGCTGAAGAAGAGGCGCAGAGAGAGAGCGCGAGGGTTACTGTCGCTATTCTCCCCCCTCGCGACGCTGGTGAGGCCAGCACCTCTCGGCCACTGAACGCAGTCCCTCTGCGGGTGGCCCCCGGGAAAAAGGAGACGAAGGGCGCTGCTTCAAAGAAGAAAGGCAGTGTTGCCGGCCAGGGGAAGCCTGTTGACATGCCCGAGGGGTATTCCTACTTGAATACCGCCGCCCTTGACATACGGTCGAAGGCTGATGGGGCAGACCTCTACGTTACTCAGCTCCATGTGGGGCCCTCGGCGATGGTAGTGCAACCGGGAGCTGATGATATCCTCTTTCGGGCACCCGAGGGGTGTATAGCCGTCCACATTCTGTCGGTGTCTATGGGCCTCCGATTCCCCCTGCACCCCTTCCTGCGTGAGTACCTTCGGTACTTAGGACTGCTCCCTTGTCAGCTCACGCCGAATAGCCATTCGTACATCGCGGGCTTCCTCCACCTCTGCAAGTCCCGGGGGGGGGGGGGGGGGGTAACGCCTAGCCTGGACTTATTCTTCCAGAGCTTCAACTTGTGCGGGGGGGGGGGGGGGGGGGCATGCGAATGCCGAGGGCTTCACTAACTTGCAGCAGGTGGCACTATTCAAGCTGTTTACTGAAGCGCCTTCCTCCAACAAAGGATGGAAAGACCGATGGTGCTATGTGAAGCTGCCCGAGAGCCCGTTCACGGGGGAGTTGCGCGACCAGTTCAGGCGTCATGAAAAGAGGAGGAGCGCCGCCCTCAAGAAAGATGGCAGGATCCTGGCTAAGATCCCGGAGGGTCGGAACAAGAACATCACTATCAAGGAGTGCACCCAGGAGGGAGATCTGTACGCCCTCGGGTTTCGCCGGTACCGTTTCCTGGGGGAAACAGATGAAAAGTACCCGATGTTCGACAGAGCCTTCGGGGTTTAGGAGGTAGGGGCCGAGGGCATCCAACCTTTAGACTTATGAATATTTTTGTTAGGCGTAGATATATTTTTTTTGTTGCACCTTTTCTCCTCCGGTCTTAACCGCCCTCATTCTTTTGCAGGTATCAACATGGATCTCAACGCCTTCGCTGCCCTCAAGAAGCAGAAAGCTAAAGTCCCGGGCCAGAAGGAGCCCAGTAAGCAGAAGCCCCTCGGGGAGTTCTCGAAGAAGGGCAGTGAGCCTTCGGAAGAGGCCGCCAAGAGGAAGGCCGCCGACAAAGCCCCAATCCCCGAGGGGAAGAGGCAAAAGAAGGGGGACGCTGGGCAGAAGGCTCCCCCAGTGGTGGTTGTGGATGAGCACTCCACCTCCGAGCCCTGTGCCCAAATGATGACGACTGCTTCCCATTTGCCCTCGGGTCAGGGGGGTGAGGTAAGCTTGCCCCGGGAGGACATAAGGTTTTCCCTGCCGAAGGGGGCTGCCATCACACATGGCACCGTAGACCCTCGGGAGTTCCTGGGCGGAGCTACCCCTGCATTGGACAGGAAGGCCCTCGGGAAGCTCGATGATGAAGCTCTCGAGTCAAAAATCCTCCGGTCCTCCCTTACTGTAAGTTCTTCTCCTTCGTTCTTCTTTTTGCATAGTGGTTTATTTTCCTATCTGTTGTGTGATTGTAGCCTTACCCTCTTACGTTGTTTTTGTTAACAGGCCTGCATAGCCCTCGGCGAGCATGCCAGAAGATTCAACGAGTGGCGTCTCCAGAAGGCGCAACAGGATGAGTCAATGAGAAAACTCATCCATGACAATGTCGAGGCCATGAGGCAAATGGCTCAGCTGGAAGGGGACCTCCAGCAGGCGAGGGCTGCAGCGGAGAAGGCAGCCAAGGAGAAAGCTGAGGTGGAGAAGGCTGCTACTGAGGCCGTAAGGAAAGCTTCTGAGGACGCAGAGGCCGCCAAAGCAGAGGCCGCCGCCGGTGCTGTTGCTGCCTTCATGGACGAGGGGTGGAAGGTAGAGGGCCACAAAGATTGGGTGGCCTCCGTCGTGGAGGGATCCGCCGATGGGTGGGTGAAGGGCCCGGGGGCGATGTGGCTAGCCGAAGGCACTCCAGGAGTGGACTTAGCCATTTGTTGATGATGTTTGTTGAATAGTATCTTCGGTAATTATGATCTTCCAGGTACCGAAGGTGTTCCCGCGGGGAGCCCTCGGAATGTTCCCGTGAAATTGTCGGAGTGGTGTACTCATTGATTTCTCGCTGAGTCTACTCCCCTTCACCACCTTTTTTTTTTGGATAAAATGTAAATGTATATATATCTAGAAAAATAACATAGTACAATGCATCATGCGTACAATCAAAGTGCATATCCCGATATACAGGATACCACAAAATCAAGTCTCACATTCTCACATGTCCATATTTGGGACTCAAAACAAAACACAAAAAACAGTCTTACAAAACCGCCTCAACAATAATAAGGTACCCCTAAGTTAACATCCAAAGAAAGACCGGAAAGGAGTAGTGAACTTTGAGTCAAAGCAGACTTCCCCTTTTTTCTTAGTAACTCCAGGTAGGCTCTCAAGACATTTGGCGGTGAAGGTTAGGCCCTTTTTGTCCAAATCATCCGTAAGTCTAAGAGAAGTATCCACTCTAAGCACACTATCATGCACAAATCTAAACGATTTGACAAACAACTTGAAAGTCTTACCATTTAGTACCTCACATTCGGTGACGACATCATGTTGATGCAAATCATTTTCATTCGTAATTACCCTCTTATTTTCTTCCAAGGTGGCTTCATGGTCACCAATCGAGTTTTTCTTTAAAGAAGTAGCCTTTTGTACATCTTTGGACGACCCTTGGACACGTGGCCTGCCCTCGATAGAAGCTGCAGAAACCTGGATATCAACCTGCCGTGGAGACCCAGTCGGGTTACGAGAAGACCCGGTCGGGTTCTTGCCCTGGGCAGTGCTTTTCCCCTGAGACCCGGTCGGGTAAAGAGCTGGCCCGGTCATGTTCTTCCCCTGGGCAGATTCTGGCTGAGCGGAAACAGATTCAACTTCTACAATTTCATCAACTACAACATCAAGTTTTTACTTTTCCCTGTTTACCTCAACCCCACATTTTGATAATTTCTTACAAATAAATGGGTGGTGCCCATATTCTTTGCAATGAAAACAATAGCTAGGAAAAGTTTCATAAACCACACTTTGTTTGAATACCTTTTGGGAAGGCAGTCGTATAGGAAACGAGAGTGGTGGTGGCTTTGAGACATCAACCTCTATCAACACTCGAGAGTAGTCATTGTTAATCCTCTCTTGAGTGATTTTATCCGTAGTTATTGGAATTCCAACCATGGAAGCCACCTCACTCATAGCCTCATCATTCCACAATTGCATTGGTAAATCATGAAACTTAACCCAAATAGGAACTTTTAGAAATTCTTCATCCTCAAACGAAAAATTTTCCGAAAGTTCCTTGAGCGTTAGGAGTTTTCCAAACACGGTGTACGGCCCCCCATGTAGTACCTTTGATCTATCCTCCTCACTTTGAAATTTAAATATCATCCACCCCTTTTTGTGGGACCTCACTAGGCATTTAACACCCCATGTTGCTTTAAGATCATGAACCGCTTTGAGTCCGGGGAAATTTCCGGAGAAGTGTCCAACTAGGCAAAAACCCCACATTTCAATCATTGAAGGTAGTACACGATCACCAAAGTCCAAAGTTTCACCTTTTGGAGGTACATACCTCAATTTGATGCCATGCCTTGGGTCACGATTGTCTTTGAACAAAGCATTCCAAGGTTTTTCTGCCAAAGATATGGCTTTAGTGGGCTGTCCAGTAGCTGTGATCTGGCTAAAATTCGTTTCTGCATCCGGCTCAGTAGCATTAACTGCACAGGCAGTACCTCCACCCTTCACAACAGCCTTAACTCCAGTATTTATATTTGGCTGGGCAGTACCTCCGCCCTTCAAAACAGTTTTAACTCCAGCAAGAGGTGTTACATCAATACTCTCAGGTAGTATCTCTGCATCAGTGACCTGTTTATACACAAGTTTAGGAATTACCTTCAAGGCAGTGGCAGAGGATGATTTTTTCCCTTCAAGTCCAGGCCCAGTACCTGCTGAGCTCCCCTATGTGTGCTTCCCATCCGTTGCAACTCGTAGACTTGGGAAATCTTCTTCCAGAGCATCCCGGACATTGTAGCCGGCTGCTACTCTAGACCTGGTGCTCACAGAAGGGGTAGCCGTGCCTTTACCCTGTTTTTTTCCAGCCATAACCAAACCGGATAGATTTTCACCAAATTCGCAGGCCTAACAGCTACACTACCAGTCGAGGTCAGAAATAACTCCACTCTGGTGAACCAAGCTTGAAAGAAAGGGGTGACCTTCGTCCCAGCTAAGACTGAGTTCAGACACCTGTGAAACAAAAATTCCCCAAATTGCAGCAACCTAAAACCTTTCCCGCCTACACTGACGAGCTTCGGTTTACGCAGATACAGCCCAATCCCAACTCGAAGTACAGAGAAACAATCAAAAATCTCCGCAGCAGCTAGGTTAGCGAAGTAAAATCAAATCGCGAATGAACAGTAACATCGCATAAAACCAGTTCGTATTTGCGTTATTTGGCCATCGTTCAACATTGTAACACCAAATCCAAGCTCAGAACTGATGTTAGGGCTGAAATCCGACCAAGAAAGAACAAACAGAAACCAAAATCCTTCCTCACAAACCAGCGAAATACGTGAAATTCATAGCGCAAAAGAATTGGGGAAAATTTCCCAGGAGAGAGAAGCTCTCAACTTTTACCACCTTTTTTTTGTAGTGAAGGGAAGGCTTCAAGAAACTTGGTTTCTTGGTAAGGCTTGGCCTATTGGGAGGTAACAGAATACACCATTAGCTCCCCCCTCGGGTTAACCTTCCGAGTTCCGAGGGGATCGAGGGTCGTTTCCTGGGTACAAGATATGGTGGTCTGTAGCCTGCTTCCCCTTGGGGGATGGCACGGAAAGCGCCTCAGTTTTGAAAGTCGTCCCCTCGGCACCAGACATAGTCCGTGGCTTGCACACCCTTGGGGTAGTGGCGCGGGGAGCGTTTCGATTTGGAAGTCGAATCCTGGGCATATTAGATGCCCGCCAATCCCTTGGGGAAATGGCGCGGAAAGCGTTCTGTTTTTGAAAGTCGAATCCTGGGCATATCACATGCCTGCCACACCCTTGGGGTAGTGACGCGGAAAGCGTTTCAGGGAAGGGTTTTCATTTGCACACTAGTTGCAAATGGCCGAGGGCACTACGTGCTACCGGCACCGATAGGTGGCGCCTTCGGTATAGGCGTCCTCGAGGGGTACGACTTTAGAAACAACACTTGGTGTTTGTTCCGATGTACGTCCCCCGACACTTGGTACCGAGGGGTCTTCTGTGAAAACACTTGGTGTTTTCTTCCGTTTGTTGAAAGTTGATTGTGGTGCATCCCCCCCGGCACTTGGTGCCGAGGGATCTTCTGTAGGAACACTTGGTGTTCTTTTTCACGCTGCGGATGGCAGTATAGTATACCCTCGGTACTTGGTGCCGAGGGTTCTTCCTTGTAGGGGTCGATATGAGGGCTTGGCCGCTCATAAGAGTCTTATTCCATGTTCTTGGTGTCTTCAATATGCCTTCATTCTTCAAAATTTCTAGGCCTTGGGCCGCAAAATAATACATTCACTAGTTATGAGGGCTTGGCCGCTCTGATGTTATTGATAAAATTTAACTAAGTGATGTACATTCCAATGTCTAGGGACTTCAGTCCCATTGGGGCATTTTAGTTTGTAAGTTCTTGGTTTGATGATGGCTGCCACGATGTAGGGGCCCTCGAACTTTGGTGCCATCTTCCCGCCCTCGGTCGGTTGGCTGGCCTCCCTTCTTCGGAGGACATAATCCCCCACTTGGAATTCCCGGGAGCGGACCTTAGCGTCAATGTAACTCTTCACTTACCTTTGGTAGTTTTCGGCGCGTATGAAGGCTTGCTCTCGGCGTTCTGAAATAAGTGGAGATCGAGGGCCATATTGGCGTCGTTGGCCTCTGGATCATACTGTGTGACCCTTCGGGTTGGAAGAGTTACCTCAGTGGGGGCCTTAGCTTCAAATCCGTAGTAAAGGGAGAACGGTGTCTCACCAGTTGCCCGCCGAGGGGTGGTACGGTAGGCCCATAAGATGTTTTGGAGCTCTTCTACCCAACCGCCCCCTTCAGCCTCCAGTGTCTTCTTTAGGCCCTTGAGCAAAGTCCTGTTGGCGTTCTCCACTTGACTGTTGCCCTGAGGGTAGGCAACGGATGAGAAGGTGTGATTGATGCCCCCTGCCTCCAGGAGGGCACAGAAGGGGGCTGCTTCGAACTGAGTCCCGTTGTCGGAGATGATTTGTTGGGGGATGCCAAACCTTGTGAGGATCTTTTTGAGAAAAAAATGACAGCACCTGGCCTCAGTAATGCTAGCGAGGGGCTCAGCTTACACCCATTTGGTGAAGTAATCGATGGCGACGATGATGTACCTGTTGTTGGAGGTACCCCTCGGCAGAGGGCCCACAAGGTCTATGCCCCATCGAGCGAAGGGTATGGAGGTGCTCATGGGGGCACAGTTGACCGCTGGCCTGCTGGGGGCTTTCTGGAAGTGTTGGCATGCGAAACACCTTCGGGCGAGATCTGCACAATCCCGGGCCATCGTAGGCCAGAAGTAGCCCTGGATTATTAGCCTTCAGGACATGGAGAAGGGTCCCTGGTGAGCTGAACAAGTGCCACTGTGCACTTCCTCCATCGCCACTTGGCTTCATCTTGATGAAGGCACCGAAGTAAGGTCCCGTTGTAGGACCTCTTGTAAAGCCTTCCGTCTTCGATAGCGTAGCTGGGAGCCCTCAGTTTTGCTAGCTTGGCGTGGGCCTCATCCTTGGGCAGTTGCCCTGTGGTGACGAAGGCGACAATGTCTGAGATCCAGTCATCCTGTCTTTGTTGTATGTTCATGACGGGGCTAGCATGTATGCTAGAGAGGTTGAGTTCTTCCACTTTGGCAATCTTTGAGATGTGCCCAGGGGATTCGGCCGAGAGCTTGGATAAAATGTTGGCCTCGGAGTTCTGAGCCCTCGGTTTTTGAGTAAGAGAGTGTGCCTCAAATACCTTAAGCAACTCCTTGGCCGCCTCCTTGTATTGCTTCATTCTCCCTTTCTTGGCTTTACTCCCCGGAAATTTGGATGCCAATTATTTTGGAGTCGCATTTGACGTGGATTTGTCGGGCCTTCATGTTAGCCGCCAGCCGAAGGCCACAGAGGAGGGCCTCGTATTCGGCTTCATTGTTAGAGACTTTGAAGGAGAAGCGGACTGCATAATAGGCCCGGAAGCCTTCGGGTGAGATGAGAACCACCCCTCCTCCACATGCCTTGACGGCGGAGGAGCCATCGGTGTAGAGGATCCACCAATCATCCGAAGGGGCCGAGGGCTCCTCGTCCGTGGCTGATCTTGCTGTACATTCCGTCACGAAGTCCGCTAGGGCTTGGCCCTTGATTGCGGGCCTAGGACGGATGTCGATGTTGTATTGGCTCAAGAAGACAGCCCATTTTACCATTCGGGAGGAGCTGGTGGGGCTCCTCATCAAAGCGCCGAGGGGTTGGTGAGTGAGGACCTGGATCGGGTGAGCTTGGAAGTAATGGCCCAACTTCTTGACGGTCCACACGATAGCCAACACCGGTTTTTCCACGGGGGAGTACCAGAGTTCTGCTTCCCTGAGGGTCTTGCTAACATAGAAGATGGCATGTTGGATGCCATCCTCCTCCCGGATGAGTACTGAGCTGATGGCTGCCGGGCTAACACCCAGGTAAAGGTATAGGATCTCCCCCACCCTGGGTTTAGAGAGCACAGGGGGCGAAGATAAGTACCGTTTTAGTTCCTCGAAGGCCTCCTGACACTCTGAAGTCCACTGGAAACCGGCGGTTTTTCTCATGATCTGGAAGAAGGGTAAGGACTTCTCCACCGATTTTGATAAGAAGCGATTGAGGGCTGCCAGGCGGCCCGTCAATTGTTGGACCTCCTTTACGTTGCGTGGGGGCTCCATGTTGATGATGGCTTGGATCTTCTCGGGGTTGGCCTCGATACCCCTTCGGCTCACCATGTAGCCCAAGAATTTGCCCCCTTGAACGCCGAAGGTACACTTCTTCGGGTTTAGCCAAAGGTTGAATTTCTGCATGATGGCGAAGATCTCCCTCAGGTCGTCAGCATGGCTTGCTGATTGCTTGCTTTTTACGATCATGTCGTCAACATATGCCTCCATGGTGCGCCCTAGGACAGCTCGAAATACCCTGGCCACCATCCGAGTGTAGGTGGCACCTGAGTTCTTTAGGCCGAAGGCCATGACAAGGTAGCAGAAGATGCCCTCGGGAGTAATGAAGGCTGTTTTTTCAGCATCTTCCTCATGCATAAATATTTGATGATATCCACGTAATGCGTCAAGGAATGACATGATTTCACACCCCGCGGTTTCATCTACAAGTTGATCAATGTTTGACAAAGGAAAGGGGTCCATGGGACACGCCTTGTTGAGATCCGTGTAGTCCACGCACATGCGGAATGAAGGCAGTTTTTGTGTGAGGACTACGTTTGCTAGCCATGAGGGGTACTTTACCTCCTTGATGTGCTTGATAGAGAGGAGCATGGTGACCTCCTTCTTCACAAACTCCCTCCTCTCGGCCGATAGGGGTCTCCTCCGCTGCTATACTGGTTTGGCCGAAGGGTCCACCGAGAGGCGATGGGTGATGACCCTTCGGCTGATCCCCGGCATGTCCTCCAGCCCCCATGCAAAAACGATGGAGTAGGCGCGGAGGGCGCTGATGATTCCGGTCTTCAAGTCTTCAGGGAGCTTGGCTCCAATCTTCACGACTCTCTCCAACTTGGCCGGATCGAGCGCGAAGTCTTCTACCTCTTCGGCTGGTTCAGCCCTCGGCCTCCTTTCTTCCGCTTCCACAGTTCCGGTGATGGTGTCAACGCGGAACTCCGTCTTGCTAACCTTCTTTGTTACTTGGAGGTAGCAAGCGCGGGCAAGTTTTTGGTTCCCCCTTGAGTAACCGATTCCCCCCTCGCCTGGGAACTTGAGGCAGAGATGCCTCATGGAAATATGGGCTTCGAGGTCCTCGAGGGCTGGACGGCCGAGGATGATGTTGTGGGCGCAGTCGATGTTGACGACGACGAACTCCACTTCGAGCTTGGCTCTATGGAGCCCGTCGCCGAAGAGTACCGGGAGGGTTATAACCCCCTCGGAATCAATGGTGTCACCGGTGAAGCCGGCAAGAGGGGTCTTGATGGGCCGAAGGGACCCCCTCTCCAGATGCAGCTCTCTGAAGGTACTTGTAACACCCCCAAATTTCCCACCCAAAAATACATTTAAATAATGATTTATTAGAAAATATTTTTAACTTTATTTGAAAACATCACAAAATGTGCAGCGGAAAATTCAAAGGGAAATAGGGGTGCTACCGCCACACTCGGTTCTCTCTTAACCGAGTGCACAGGCTAAAACAACTTAAACATCAAAATCAAAAGCTCATTGATTAAAGTTATTGAAAAAGAAATTTACAATGATTTACTAATAATGTTTTCTAGCGGAAGCTCTCTCTCGAAATCAACTTCAACATCGATCAACTCAACACCTGAACAAAAATCATGTACAGAAAGAAAAATAAAAGAAACAAACATTAGCAATAATGCTAAGTAAGTTCCACCTAACCTTTTAAAATAATAATAAATACTATATATAAAATTCGTACAACCTCATAAAATATTTTTCAACACTTTATAAACCATAAATCATAAGTAAACGATATCTATATAAACTCCCAATCACATAATTAACTCGTAAACCATAATAATTCCAAAATACATGAAACACCAAAATTCTCCTCTTTTGAATTTCCCCCAAAATCACTTTGTATCTAACTTCCTAGTAATTTAGAAGGGCGGTGCTCAACACTCTGGTTGAGCCCGGTGATCCGTTGTTATGTACGGCCACCCCGGAACTATCGCCGGTACCACAACTGCTCCTTGGAAACGGAAACAACTACTTTAAGTGTGCACACCCCCTAAAGGTATTCCAAGCCCTCCGGGTTAGTAAGTCGATCCGGGTAGCCGGGATGTTTTTTACCAACTACCCCACCTCAAAACCTGAATGATTAGGAGCTACTACTACCACTACTACTCAAAAGCCGGGATGTTTTCTACCGACCGACAATTCACCTCAAACCAACACAAACCAAAAATTGCGTAGTAGTAGACCTAACCATCCTCCACATTTTAAGGGACGTGGAAAACCAACACCACGGATTTCTCTCGTGATGCTCACCCTTTATGAAAATATTTATTTCTCTTTGTTTTCTCAAAATCAATCGAAGTTTATACTTCACGAATTTCCTTTTTCATTAAACTCCCACAAAGATAACAAATTACGTACTATTACAAAATCTTCCAAAATAACTCATATCAACAAACTAATATCTCAAATACAATCCTTTTATATAATGATATTCAAATTCAGCACACATAAATTCAATTCTCAAATATGCACACAAAAATATGTAAAAGAAATCACGAAGAAAAAGAACTAATATCGGTTGACGTGAAACTTACCTTAAATCCCGATGCTCCTAATTCTCTTCTTCAGTCCCGGTCTCTAAATATTCACCTTTTTAATTAATATGATATAATTAGTCACTTATTCTCTTTGTAATTATTTTACCCGATTTTCTCCTTTTATTTTATTATTCGAATTTATTAACTTAATTTATTAGTTATTCGAATTTATTTAATTAATCACTTTTTATTAATCAAATTACCTTATTAATTCAGCCATTAATTACAATATTTGAATTCTAATATTAAATACAATATCCGAATATAATTAACTACAACATCCTATTTTTTTTTATTCAATAACCACCACTAATTTACTCTACTCATAAATTATTATCTAATTGCTTTATTTATATTAACCCATTAATTTATGAATTCAAATATTTTAAATATTTATATGAAGTCCTAATATCTAATAATAAATTATAAAAATTATTAATTGAATTAGTCCACTAATTACATAACTAAGTTATTTATTAAGTCTACATATAGTCAATTATTTATGCTAGCTAACCCAACCTTATTTTATTTTCCTTATTTTTTTCCAACATTATTTTTAGTCCAGAATATTATTTTTCAATCTCAGTGATTTATTTATTTCACCATTAATATAAATATTTCCTTATTTAATTACTTAACTAGTTTTATATGGCCTAATTTAAATAAATAGACTAAGAGTCGACTTTATAAATTAATAACCGTTTATAACTATATTTAGGGTCTATATTTGACCTAGGTTGTCCAGATATCTATTTTATAATTATTTTCCATAATTATTCCTTTAATTTCATATATCTAATAACCGGTTCAATTACAATTAAATATACTAAATCTTTATTTTTATTAATTATAAATGGTCCATAAGGTTCTATTTAGTCATATATTTATCATAGTTTACTCCAATATTTATTTCATAATTATTTTCGTTATTTAGTTAATTATTTACTAAATGTGTATAAATTGGCCCAATTAAAATTAAATCAATTAAAAATAGTTAAAAATATTATTTTTCAATTATGGTTGCTCCGAATATGTATATTTATACTAGGTATTTAATTTATATTTTTCCAGATTTTATATATTTGATTTACTATTTTATTTTTAATTTTTATTAAAACTGGGCCGAACTGGCCCATTAAACCGACCCGGCCCAAGAGTTCTGACCCAGACAACTGGGTCATCTTCTCCAGGTCGATTCCGGTGACTTCGCCGGAAACTAGAAAACTCCGGCGAGCTATAACTTGACTTACAGATAACGGATTTCGACGATTCAAGTTGCAAAATGATCCTTGCGGCGAGACGAAGCTCCTCCACCCCTATCTACGGCAAAATATCTGCTTTTTATAAAGACCCGCTTCCACAACTTGCAACTCCGGCGAGCGATATCTCTCTCGTTTCACGACCGTTTTCAACGATTCTTTCTCCGTTGGATTCGTCTCACGAAGGAGAATGTTTTTATGTGAGTTTTGGCTTCGGTTTTGGGTTATAACGAAGGGTAGAAATTTCTGCACATATAGATATATATACGTATATATGTATATATTGATCGGCTTAGCTTGGACGTGAAAAGAAAACGCAGGCATGGCGGCTATTTATAGTGTAGGTCGAGGGTAGATAGGTTAGAGTTTGTGTTTAACTTGAACAACTTCTTCCGCAGCTTCGATCTTATCTTTGTACGTAGTTTACTCTTCGTAGGAAGCTTATTGCCAGCCGAAGGAGTTTTATTCAACGAGGACTAGGAACCTTAAGTTTTTCTTAGTTCAGATCCATCCGTTCTTAAATCTTAAGTATTCATACATCTTAATAATTGACTTATGAATGGTTTTGTAGGTATAGTAGGCTTTTATCTATATTCGTATTTTATAGTAGTAGTAAGTTTTGTATTCTAATTTTTTATTACTTAGTATGTATTTTTATGCATGTGTATAATAAATAATTGTACACCTATTATTAAGTGTTTAATATTTATAAAATGTGACTTACATAATTATCATAAAAATGTTACTTCTATAATTGAAGTATTTTTATCTGACTAAAACGTCATAAACTTCGATTTTTTTTTATCTGATTAGAATGTGACAACTGTTCAATTTTTGTTTGACTCACTTAATAATTAAAATGCCATTCCCGTAAAATTTTATCTGACTGATAAAAATTATTTTTATTTTTATTTAAATATCTTTTTTTTTAAGGAGTGTAACATTCTACCCTCCTTAAAAGATGTTTCGTCCCGAAACATAAAATAAAATAACCAAATTCTTAAGTATTACATTCTATTTTTATTTTTTTTTAAATTTTTGGAGTGTCACAGTACTGAGGTACATTACATTGACGGAGCTGCCCGTGTCAACGTAAGTTCGGTGAATTATAGTGTCACTGATCTCTGTGCGGATGACAAGGGCATCCCTGTGTGGGGAGGACACTGGGGAGAGATCAGCGTTAGTGAAGGTGATGGGTTCCTCCCTCAGCCGCTTTACTGGGGGCATATGAGTGACTTCCCCCACGTAAAGCGACTGAGCCCACTTCTTTCGTTGACTTGTAGAGTCACCCCCGGTATTGCCCCCAGTGATCATGAGGATGTGGCGCTTCTTTTCTTGGTACTGGGGGTACTCCTCCTCCTCCTCTTCCAAGTTCCCAATCTCCCTCTTCTTGCCGAGGGGGGGTGGTGTTGGGGTTTACCCATGCATTTGCTCTCGCAGTTTGCCGTCGGGGTGGCCCTTGGTGAGGGGGGCCCTGTTGCTGAGGGCCTTGAATAAATTGGGACAAATGGCCCGCTTGTATTAATTTTTCGATGGCCGCCTTCAGCTGATGGCAGTCATTGGTTCTGTGCCCCTGATGTCGGTGGAAGCGACAGTAGGGGTAGTTTGGATTGATGGCATATACTTCCGGGGGTGCGCGGGAATCTCGCTCCACCAGGCCCCTCTACTCGGCGAAATCAAGAATGACGCTGACGGGGTGCGTCAAAGGTGTCTGAGGGTGCTCCAGGAGAACAGGCTGTGCCCAAGCCCTCGGGTTCCCCTTGTAGCCTCCCCCGGGCTTGGCTTGGCCATGCCGGGGGCGATCAGCGGAGGAGGCAGAATCCTTGGGATGATTGCGGGGAGCCCCCGGCCCCCGGTTACCTTTGTCATCTGGCCGAGGGCGTCGCTGATCCGGGACGTGGTGCCATTTCTCCACCTCCTCGACTTCGGCGTACCGGTGCCCCGCTGTAGGGCCCTTATATAATCGTCGGGGGGTTCGATGATGAGGCTCCTCGAGAAGTTCCCGGGGCGGAGTACCGTTTGGAGGAGGGCCAGGAGGGTCCCGTCGTCAGCGCCATCAACTTTATCAGCCTCCGTTCTCCAACGTTCCAAGAAGTCCCGAAGGGTCTCCTCCTTCCTCTGCCTCACTGTCAGCAAGTGGGAGAAGTGTTTTCTTGTGCGGCGCCTTCCCGCAAATTGCGTCAAGAATCGCTGGGCGAGTTCTTGCCATGAGTCAATGCAGTCCTCGAGCAATCGATTGAACCATTCGTAAGCCGGCCCCTCTAAGGCGGAGAGGGAACCAGCGGCACAAATATTCATCCGATGCCCCCACCATCATCATGCTGTTTTGGTACCTGCTGTAGTGCTCTTGGGGGTCAGTCTTTCCATCGTAGGGCTTGATGAGCTGCCCTCAGTATTTTTCCGGGATCCGAGCCGCCAATACCCTTAGGGTAAATGGCGTCCGGGTCTGGAGCTGTATGGTGGGTTCCCCGGAGCCCTCAGCTATCTTCTTCTGCATTTCCTCCATATTTGTCAACATCGCCTCATACTTGAGGTCTGTATGAGGGGCAGAAGTGGTGGCGTGTGCTTTGGTGGCCTCCATCTAGTCGAGCCGGCGCTGGAGGGCCGCAATTATTTCGTCCCGGGGGTCCTTCGGGAGGGCCTCCGCCCCCTGCGAATGGACGCGGGCCGAGTGGGCCTGGTTGATTTGGTGGCGGGCGTCGTTGGCATGGAGAGGTGCCTTTCCTTTGTCCTGAGGGGGACACCTTTCATTGGCTCTAGAGACAGATCCGCCACATTCCTGAGGCCTCTGGAATGCCTTCCCCCCAAGGCGGTCTTGGACCCCTCGGCGGTCTTGCGCCCCTCCGAGTCTCTCGAGGGCGGAGGTCCGGAGTTGTTCTTTATTCACGTTGTGGCGGTCCCGGGACTGGACTTCCTGGGAAGCCGTATCTTGGGCCACGACCCCCTCGGCGTTCCCAATCCGGAGGACCGGATTCCCGAGGGGGTGTGGATGAGGGGGAGGCATAATATTCTCCCCGACCTGAGGTTGGAGGGGAACCAAAGTGCCGAAGGCACCCGGGTTCTGGGTGAGCGTCTGGATGAAGGCGGAAAACGCCGATTGTACGTCGATTGTGATGACCGAAGGGCTAATTTGGTTCTCGCTCCAGTCCTTTTTCTTGGCCTCGATGCCGAGGCGGGCATCGGGGGCATTCTATTGAATCTGATGGCGTAGGTCGACAGCCGTCTGATCCAACCCGGCGATGACGCCGCCCCCGGGAGCCCTATTAGAGGCTTCGGGGACGTCGACTTCGCCGAGGGCCAGGTTCCTGTCCTCAACGTTCTTGGAGTTGGCACGAGTTGTTCTCACCATTTTAGCTAGGTGTTTTGTGTTTGACGAGGGGGAGGGTTTCTTACTTGATTGTTCGACCTCTCAACGAGAGCACCAAATGATGGATATGTGTACCCGGGGGGGTATCTATCCGAGGGGTTATTACGGGGAATAACTAGAGAGAAGTCAGAGCAAGTAAGAGAGAGAAAGTGTATTTAATATGTACGTTAAGGCTTTTTTGAGCGTGGTTTACAACAGGGAAATGGGGTGCTATTTATAGTAGCAATAAATGCCAGACAGGGACACGTGTCAAGCATCCATTGGCCGAGGGGTCACCTCAACTGGTTGGCGCTGGCAATCGCATGTGGCCGCATTTAATGCGGCTGTTGGATGTGACGTCGTACTTGGTACGGTGATCCATGCGCATGTGGAGCGGATATTATGTCGGAAAGGCGCCCTCGGCTGTAGATGATTAGCCGAGGGCTCTGAGCATTGGGGACCTCCTTAGTGCCGAGGGCTCCAAGTGCCGAGGGCTGCTGATTTTCGCCGTTTTCTCCCAGTAACTTTGTTTTCCTGATTTGACCCTCCTGTGAGAATCAGAGCCTTCGGCCAGGGGGCCGAAGGCACCCCTGGTGCGCACTGTGGCCGCTTGGTAGTCTGGGCGCTGTGATTTGGGCCTGTTGTGCTTCCTGGGCCTATTGGGCCTTTATTGAAGTAGTAGAAGTCTGTGGACCGGGGGTTCCCGGGCCATATACTCCATCAATGGCCATCGACCCCCTGGTACGGTACCATCATATTAGAAGACCGGCCTTATCCCCGCTCCTCGTGAATAAGGACCGTTGATTTATTATTTCAGATCGGCCCCAGCGCCGACATCAGTTCATGGCCACCGACCCCTCGGTACGGTGCCATCATCATATTCGAAAGGCGGCCTTGTCCCCGCTCCTCGCGGATGAGGACCGTTGACTTATTCTTTCAAATCGGCTCCCAATGTCGACACCTTTATATGGCCATAGACCCCCTGGTACAGTGCCATCATCATATACAAAGACCCCTCAAAAAAAATTAAAGGGGCATTGGGGAATCCCCAAAGGAGAGAAGGCCGTTCCTCACCGACTACGTTGGCTACGTTAGGCTCAGGATCCAAAGGATCGGGCTAGACGAGCGGGTACGACGAGGAGCGGGTGATGGAACGAAAAGATAAAAGAATCCAAAGAAGGATCAGATAAAAGAAACCAGAGAAGGAAGAGATAAAAGAATCCAAAGAAGGATCAGATAAAAGAATCCAAAGAAGGATCAGATAAAAGAATCCAGGGAACGAAGAAATAAAAGAATCCAAAGAAGGATCAAATAAAAGAATCTAGAGAAGGATCACAAAAAGAAGAAAGAGAGAAATCCCCGGAGAAGGGGGAAAGTCCGTTCCTTCACTGACTACGTTGGCTACGCTCGGCTCAGGGTCCAAAGGACCGAACTAGACGAGCGGGTACGACGAGGAGCGGGTGATGGAACGAAGAGATAAAAGAATCCAAAGAAGGATCAAATAAAAGAATCCAAAGAAGGATCAGATAAAAGAATCCAGAGAAGGAAAAGATTAAAGAATCCAAAGAAGGATCATATAAAAGAATCCAAAGAAGGATCAGATAAAAGAATCCAGGGAACAAAGAGATAAAAGAATCCAAAGAAGGATCAAATAAAAGAATCTAGAGAAGGATCACAAAAAGAAGAAAGAGAGAAATCCCTGGTGAAGAGGGAAAGGTCGTTCCTTCACTGACTACGTTGGCTACGCTCGGCTCAGGGTCCAAAGGACCGAGCTAGACGAGCGGGTACGACGAGGAGCGGGTGATGGAATGAAGAGATAAAAGAATCTAAAGAAGGATCAAATAAAAGAATCTAAAGAAGGATCACAAAAAGAAGAAAGAGAAAAATCCCCGGAGAAGGGGGAAAGGCCGTTCATTCACTAACTACGTTGGCTACACTCGGCTCAGGGTCCAACGGACCAGGCTAGACGAGCGGGTACGACGAGGAGCGGGTGATGAACCGAAGAGATAAAAGAATCCCAAGATGGATCAAATAAAAGAACTCCTAAAGGGATCAAAACTTTTCCATTCCAGAGGACCCGAGGGCCTGGAGACGAGCATTTCCATTCCAGAGGACCCGAGCGCTTGGAGACGAGCATTTCCACTCCAGAGTCCGAGGGCCTAGAGACGAGCATTTCCACTCCAGAGGCCGAGGGCCTGGAGACAAGCATTTCCACTCCAGAGGACGAGGGCCTGGAGACGAGCATTTCCACTCCAGAGGCCGAGGGCTTGGAGACGAGCATCCCCACCCTTGAAGATCCAAAAAAAGAGAGAGAATGAGCTAGGTACAACGAGCAGATGAGGACGACCATCTTTTGCAGTACGATCGGCCCCTCAGCGCCATCGTGTCCACTTCACGGTTCGGCTCGCCCATCCCTTCCAGGATGGCGACGACCGTCTTATGCAGCACGATCGGCCCCTCAGCATCATCGTGTCCAGTTCACGATCGGCTCGTACATTCCTTCCAGGATGGCGACGACCGTCTTATGCAGCACGATCGGCCCCTCAACGCCATCTTGTACAGTTCACGGTCGGCTCGTACATTCCTTCCAGGATGGCGACGACCTTCTTATGTAGCACGATCGGCCCCTCAGCGCCATCGTGTACAGTTCACGGATGGCTCGTACATTCCTTCTAGGATGGCGACGACCGTCTTATGCAGCATGATTGGCCCCTCAGCGCCATCGTGTACAGTTCACGGTCACCTCGTACATTCCTTCCAGGATGGCGACCACCGTCTTATGCAGCACGATTGGCCCCTCAGCACCATCGTGTCCACTTCACGGTTCGGCTCGCCCATTCCTTCCAGGATGGCGACCACCGTCTTATGCAGCACGATCGGCCCCTCAGCGCCATCGTGTCCACTTCACCGTTCGGCTCGCCCATCCCTTCCAGGATGGCGACGACCGTCTTATGCAGCACGATCGGCCCCTCAGCGCCATCGTGTCCAGTTCACGGTTTGGCTCGCCCATTCCTTCCAGGATGGCGACCACCGTCTTATGCAGCACGATCGGCCCCTCAGCACCATCGTGTCCACTTCACGGTTCGGCTCGTCCATCCTTTCCAGGATGGTGACGACCGTCTTATGCAGCACGATCGGCCCCTCAGCGCCATCGTATCCGGTTCATGGTCGGCTCGTACATTCCTTCTAGGATGGCGACGACCGTCTTATGCAGCACGATCGGCCCCTCAACGCCATCGTGTCCACTTCACGGTTTGGCTCGCCCATCCCTTCCAGGATGGCGACGACCATCTTATGTAGCACGATCGGCCCCTCAGCGCCTTCGTGTCCACTTCACGGTTCGGCTCGCCCATCCCTTCCAGGATGGCGATGACCGTCTTATGCAGCACGATCAGCCCCTCAGCGCCATCGTGTCCAGTTCGGCTCGCCCATTCCTTCCACGATGGCGACCACCGTCTTATACAGCACGATCGATCCCTCAGCGCCATCGTGTCCACTTCACGGTTCGGCTCGCCCATCCCTTCCAGGATGGCGACGACCGTCTTATGCAGCACGATCGGCCCCTCAGCGCCATCGTATCCAAATCATGGTTGGCTCGTACATTTCTTCCACGATGAGGACCACCGTCTTATGCAGTACGATCGGCCCCTCAGCGCCATCGTATCCATCCAGTTCACGGTCGGCTCACCCATTCCTTCCAGGATGGGGACCACCGTCTTATGCAGTACCATCGGCCCCTCAGCGCCATCATATCCAGTTCACGATCGGCTCGTACATTCCTTCCACGATGGGGACCACCATCTTATGCAGTACGATCGGCCCCTCAGCGCCATCATATCCAGTTCACGATCGGCTCGTACATTCCTTCCACGATGGGGACCACCGTCTTATGCAGTACGATCGGCCCCTCAGCGCCATCGTATCCAGTTCACGGTCGACTCACCCATTCCTTCCAGGATGGGGACCACCATCTTTTGCAGCACGATCGGCTCCTCAGCACCATCGTGTCCAGTTCACGGTCGGCTCACCCATTCCTTCCAGGATGGGGACATCCATCTTATGCAGCTCGATCGGCTCCTCAGCGCCATCGTGTCCAGTTCACGGTCGGCTCATCCATTCCTTCCAGGATGCTGACCACCATCTTATGCAGCACGATCGGCTCCTCAGCGCCATCGTGTCCAGTTCACGGTCGGCTCACCCATTCCTTCCAGGATGGGGACCACCGTCTTATGCAGTACGATCGACCCCTCAGCGCCGTCGTACCCAGTTCATGGTCGGGCTCGTCCATACCTTCCAGGGTGACGACCGCCATCTTATGCAGCACGATCGGCCCCTGAACGCCATCGTGTCTAGTTCATGTTTAGCTCGTCCATACCATCCGGGGGGACGACGAACGTCTTATGTAGCATGAACGGCCCCTCCGCGCCATTCGTGTCTGGTTCTTGTTCGACGTAAGACCACAACATGGCAAAGTAAGACCATATCTCGGCAAAGTAAGACCATGCTGTGGCAAGGAACGTCTTATGCAGCACGCTCGGCCCCTCAGCGCCGTCATGCCCGGTTTACCGATGACATTCACCGCTTTGTATCACATCTTACATGCCATCTCTCATACATGTCACTCATACATCACATGCATTCATACATTCAAGCATCATCTCTCATACATCCATACATACATGTACATCATATCGAACCAGTTCCGTGTCGTCGGCTTATATTGTACAGGGACCTCTAAGCTTCTCCATTGGAAAGCTCGAGTCAGAGTCCTCTACTCCCATCTAGTACATTCAGAGGGAGAGTGTCCGGGGAAGAGCATCCCTTGCCCGACCCCGTCGGAAGGGGAGCGCCTCATCAGCAGGGTATATTCAGAGGGGCAGACACCCACCCATATATTATGATTATTCGAAGACTCAGTTTCCAGCAAGACAGAGGAAGAGCGCAGGCAAGAGTATATTTTCTCGAACAGATTCGCACACTCACTACTCAAGAAACTGGAGGACTTGTGTTGGGATATATCATCCCGACCTATTACTGTTCAGGAGCTCAAGACTTTACGTAGTACGGAGCCCAATCAGTAAGGCCCATTTTAGCCTATCAGGCCTATTTCGGCCTTTGGGCCCATTTCTGCCCATTCGGCCCACCTAGGCCCAAGAGGTCCGTTTCGGCACACTCGGCCCGTTAGGGTGGAGCACCCCTCCCCATTTCCTCTATTAATAGGAGGATTCCCCTCCTTATTAAGGATCCCTCTCTTCTTCCTCCTTCTCTATAGTTAGCTTGAATCCTCCATTAATGGAGCTTGTATAATGTATTGGTAAGGAGAGCACTAATAAAAGGAGCGGGCTTGGACATTAGCCTAAACAGTTCCGTGGTTTTCTCCCTTTCCGGGTTTCCACGTAAAAATCATTGTTTATATTTTATTATCACCCCATAACCATGAAACCCTCCCGGAAAGGGTGTTGAACTTCCGGGCTGCGGCGAATTAACCTCAACACCATTGATGAAGCTCACTCGAAAAGAGGCCAAGTTCGTATGGGATGACTGATGTGAGAGGGGATTCTTAGAACTGAAGAAGAGGTTAACTAAGGCACTGGTACTCGCCTTACCAAAACAAGGTATGTGGTACAATGTCTATAGCGATGCGAGCATCGAAGGACTTGGATGTGTATTGATGCAGAATGGGAGGTTGATTGCCTACGCTTCACGGCAGTTGAAGAAACACGAGGTAAATTATCCTACTCATGACTTAGAATTGGGAGCGGTGGTTTTTGCACTAAAGATATGGAGGCATTATCTCTACGGAGAGACATGTCACATATACACTGACCACAAGAGTTTGAAGTATGTGTTTACTCAGAAAGAGTTAAACATGAGACAACGACGGTGGATGGAGTTGATAAAGGACTACCACCTAGTGATTGATTACTATCCACGGAAAGCAAATGTTGAGGCTGATGCCCTTAGTCGGAAGAGTTCATCAAGGGCATTGATAACCAACTTGAGAGCATTGAGAGCTCAACTGGAAGTATCTACTAATGGTGCCTTGGTGGCGAGATTTAAGGTGAGACCTACCTTACTTGATCAGATCAAGAAGGGACAGAAACTAGACGATGAGCTCAAGAAGGTTCTAGAACGCATGCTAGCGGGGCCGGTAGAGGATTTCCGTGAGAGAGATGATGGTCTCTTGTTATTCCGTGATCGAGTGTGTGTACCATCTAATGATGAGCTCCGAAAGTCCATTCTAGAGTAGGCTCATTCATCGGCGTACGCTATGCACCCGGGAGGCACGAAGATGTACATGGATCTGAAAGAAAGCTACTGGTGGTCTAGTATGAAGAAGGAAAATAGCAGAGTACATCAGTCGGTGCCTTACTTGTCAACAAGTTAAGGCAGAACATCAGCATCCAGCGGGCTTATTGCAGCCACTTTCCATCCCTGAATGGAAGTGGGAACATGTGACTATGGATTTCGTGGTAGGCTTACCACGGACGATCAGGAACAATGATGCAGTTTGGGTTGTTGTTGATAGGCTCATGAAGAGTGCACACTTTTTACCTATCAACACCACCTACCCACTTGAGAGGTTAGCCAAATTGTATACGGACGAGATCGTGAGGTTACATGGTGTTCCGGTGACCATCATATCCGATAGAGACCCATGATTCACGTCACATTTTTGGCCAAAATTTCAAGAGTCTATGGGAACGAGGTTGAACTTCAGTACTGCTTTCCATCCACAGATGGATGGGCAGTCTGAAAGAGTTATACAGATCTTAGAAGATATGTTGAGGGATTGTGTGTTAGAGTTTCAAGGAAGTTGGGACAACCACTTAGCACTCGTGGAGTTTGCCTATAACAACAGTTATCAGGCAAGTATCGGCATGCCTCCATACAAAGCATTGTATGGGAGGAGGTGTCGTACACCGTTATGCTGGGATAAGGTTGGCATGGCCAAACTCGAGAGTACTAAGTTGGTTGAGATCACCAAGTCAAAGGTGAAGTTGATTCGAGAGAGACTCAAAGCGGCACAGGAGAACCTTAGAGTTTAAGGTTGATGACGAGGTATTCCTGAAAGTTTCTCCTTGGAGAGGATTCTGGCCGCAGGGATATTTTCCAGTGCGTAGAGTTGCTTGTCTGGGCCATATCTCGAGCTACACTCATCCAAATAAGGCATGTGAGGTGTATACAGAAAGATCTAAAGATACGGAATCAGTAGACGTTCTGTTTGTAGAGAACAGACCAGTTTAAGGCCTCCAAATCATCGAAGGAAAACGATACCTCGCTGAATACGTTTTTGTATTCATAGTAAGTTTGAACCCAAAATCTTCCTTTTCATTATCTAACTGATATGAACGATTGGTGGAGCTATTATACACTATTTAAAGTGTATAATATTTTCCTTATAAGGTTACTATATTGAAGTAATTGTTAGATGCTAACCTAGAACAAACCTTGAAAGGTTAGGAACGATTTCGCCGGAAAACACTCATTCTAGGGGTTGTTTTCGTATCATCGGTTACGAGTTGAGCTACCACCTTGAGGAGTCTGTCTAACAATCATTTCTAAGCAAGGAATCAGTTTTCAAACTTCCTAGGCCGAAGCATTGAGCATTGGATTGAGAAGGAAAGGTTTAAAGCTCATTTGAGGTGAGAATCGACATCTAGTTGCTTACAACTTGTAGGTTAAGCATGAGATTACCTAAATGCATAAATCATGTTTTTCATGGATTATGAAGATTGATTATTGATGAAATATGGATATATTTGATAAGGAATGGAATTGGAAATGATATGGAATCATATTGATAAAAATGGAGTTAAATGAACTATTACGTAAAATAGGCATTTTTACTCATGTGTGAATTGTGTAGATACATAAATGAATATGTATGTATTACATTGGATACTTAAGTTGCTGTTACATATCTCTAGATATGTAGGTACTTACAAGTAGAATATTTGATTTATAAGAATAATCTTAATAGTATTGAATTACTAGTTAATGATTGTTTGTAATTGTCAAGGAATTGAATCTAAGAATTTGATTGTAAGTGATGTGCTTGAATGTGATTCAAGTGACTTAATTGATTTGGTATGAAGCTACGATCATGTTATGGGCAGTCCGTAAGGATGTCCCAAAATAGATTTTTGATATCTCAATTCTAGGCATATGTTTTCTTAGGAATTGAGTCTATGCCACGGCACAGTGATGTGCTTGAATTGGAATCTAGAAGTGCATGGGTAGACAAGGTGTTGTGATTGATGACATGCATGGTGATGTACTTGAGTTGGACTCTAGAAATGCATGAGAGATTTGAGGCTGTAGCCTATGGTGTGCATGGTGATGTACTTGAGTTGGACTCTAGAAATGCACGGTGGAGTAATTAACATGTGTCATATGATTTGCATGGTGATGTACTTGAGTTGGACTCTAGAAATGCAAACATATGTGTTAGGGTTGGACCTTATGAATTGTCGTTACTGGTAGTCACGAGGTATTGGGTTTATACATGAAGTAAGTATATTTTTAAAAGGGGTAACTTGGGGTAACGGCCTAGATTATATTATCACCGTATTTGAGGGTCTTGTGTTTGAAATATAATACTTGTTGTATATCTATTAGATGCCATCCACACCAGTACTTTAGCTGTATAGAGTACTGACCCCCTTTCGAGGGGCGTCCCACCACCATTTAAGGTTGAGGCTAGAGCTTGCTACGTGTGCTCGTCGATCGGGTGAACATCTTGGAGAGAAGACTTGGTTCGTGCTTCTCCATTCTATTTTTGAACATTTATGAACATGCTCATGGTTATTTTTTCACTATAGAGTCTGTGTGCTCATGTTTGCCTCGTGTGGCATTTGTTTTCAAACTATGTTTTCCGCTGCGTATTGAATTGCTAATTATGTATGTTTATGGATGACTTATGTGTGAATGATATTCGAGATGCGTTGTATAATATGGATGTGTTAGACTGCGGTTGACTATTCGTATTGTACGGCGGGTTGTTGATGTGTCCGGATAGGTTCGGGGCGTGACACGGACCGTAACCTAATTTACTAGTACGTTTTTCTATTTGCGTGAAGTCATTACTATTATTCGTCTAGCCGATTGCATTCTTCCCGTTCCCTACCCCGGCAACCGAACCTGAACATCTCTCCCAGTACCACCATCTTCTAAAATTAGTCTTTAAGATCGATGGAGTTTAAAAAATGTTCCACCAAATAAAAGACGGATTACTCTCCAAACGTGCCTCCAAAAACTTGAAATTTGGATAATATTGTGCTTTAAGCACTGGACTCATTAGGCCACCCGACTCTGTCACATGTTTCCACACCTGTTTCACCAACATTGCTAGATTAAATTCCGTACCTTTCTAAAACCCAAGCACATTTTGATTTACATAAGAGCTCCCATCCGCAAATAAAAAGTTGTCATCCGCAAATAACAAGTGGGACACATGCGGTGCTCCCCTAAAAAAAGCCGCTCCATGAATATAAAATGTTGCTTCCGCACTCCTCAACATTGCGCTCAACTCTTCCGCCACCAGAATGAAGAGATAAGGTGCAGATAGGATCTCCCTACCATAGTCCCCTACCATAATACATAACACCCTTTATCAAATTGTATGTAGTAACTCATTGATGTCACACATTCCATAATATTGTGAACCCACCTCCTATCAAAATCCATCCGGAACATTATATCTTTCAAAAAAGCCCAATTAACTCGGTCGTAAGCCTTACTCATATCAAGCTTTAAAGCCACACAACCTTCTGATAGTCCATGTTCTTTAACAATCAAACAACCATAACAGATAAAGAAGAAGCAGATAGAAAGATATCGAGATGAAACCAAATCTGGTATACCGTGAACATGGCCGCTGCTCTCTCTCGAGAAGGAGAGCAGCGGAAAACCTATCTCTCTATCTCGACTCTACCTCTTGAAGTCTCAAACCTTTTCGATCCTTAGGGTTTCCATAAGTTAGCCTCCTTTTAGAGGAGAAGTTGGCTAACTTATGGAATACAAAGAAGCTAATGGGCTGATATACATTTATGGCCCATATTACACGTTTAACTAATAACTACACAAATACAAAGATATTTAATTAGATTGGACACCATAAAATATTCCTAACACCTTCTCTCCCATAACACTTCCGTTTCAAATGTTGGGATAGTTTCAAAAGCTACAATTACATTATCCACAATCGACCGATGTGGAATAAAAGTACTATGGTTTTCCCCACTAAACTGTCTAATAAAAGTTACAATTACATTGTCTACAATCATTGGTAACACTGGCATTTAAAAAGTTCTCCTTTGTCCCAACTACCATGGGAAAGGGCAGGAAAAATGGGAAGGGAACAAAGGCACCTTCTGTGGAGGTTTCAACATCCAAAAATGTTGGCAAGGAGAAGGTGACTGATGAAATGGAAAGAGATGAAAAAGAAAGAAATGAAGAGGGAAAATTAGAAAGCCTAGAAGAGATACAAGCTGACGAGAACATCGTTTCTACTCTAATACAATTTGGAGGAACTAAGATTAATAGTGCACACCACATGTTTGATTTAAATTCTGAACCAAACATTGAGAAGAAAGCTAATAAACCTTCATGGGTAGGGTTGTTCAAAGATAATCGAGCTCCATCAAGAGGAATGAAGCTAAAGTTTATTCCCACCGAAGGAGACTATGTGGACTTTAGTTTGGACGAACCAGTGAACATGATTGAAATGTGGGGATATTGTTTGGTGGGTTTTTTTACAGGAAGATTTCCCGGGATGAAGGCTGTTAACAACCTTATTGAACAGTGGGGAGTTAGATGCAAAATCCTACCTCATTCCAGGGGCTGGTTGGTGTTCCAGTTTAAAACGGAGGAAGATAGATCTAAGGTACTAATAGAGGGACCATATGAAGTATTAAAGAATTGTCTGAGGACTTCTCATTTGACGATGAAGAATTTCTTAAGTTACCTCTCTGGATTAAATTCCCTAGACTACCTATGGAATGTAGGAAGGACGATAAGATTAGTAAGATTGCTTCTAAAGTTGGACTGCCTATCTATATAGACAGAGTAACTTTTGAAAGAACCAAATTGGACTACGCAAAAGTGTTGATTGAGGTGGACATATCCAAACCTCCACCACTGTCAGTCAAACTTAAGCTCAAATCTGGAAAATATTTCACCCAATATGTAATATATGAAACCTTCCCAAATTTTTTCTTCCATTGCAAAAAAATTGGCCACCACCCCTTTACTTGCACTGTCCTTCATGAACTAGAAACAAAGAAGAGAGAAGATATGGAAAAGGAAAGACAAAAAAGCAAAGAGAAAGTTCATAAAGGAGCTTATCACTGAAACTTCTAATTCAGAGCACTTAGACAAGAGTGTGGAAATTGAAGAACCACAAGTATCAAACGAGGAGGTTAGATGTTGGGCCGCGGGTATGCGGTGCCAGCAACAGCCAGCCTGCCAGTGCAATCGGACCGCGTGGCGCTTCGCTTGTGCTATAAAGGGGGAGGAGCGTGCTTCACTATCAGCGATTGCTTTTAGTGTAGCGGTAAGCGCAATGATCCACAAGTGGTATCAGAGCCAAGGTCACGGGTTCGACCCCCGACAACAGCATGCTGCGCAGTTGTAGGCTGGCAGGTGCTGGGGGGAGATTGTTGGGCCACGGGTATGCGGTGCCAGCAACAGCCAGCCTGCCGGTGCAATCGGACCTCGTGGCGCTTCGCTTGTTCTATAAAGGGGGAGGAGCGTGCTTCACATCAGCGATTGCTTTTAGTGTAGCGGTAAGCGCAACGATCCACATTAGAGTTGATGAAGAAAGTCATAGTGTGGTTAATGGGGGCATAAAAAGTCATAGTGTGCAAAAGGAGCAACAAAACAAGGAAACAGAGCGGAGACACAAAGAGAAAAAGGTGAAAAGAATAACATAGTGGACAGTGGAAATCTTTAGAAGACTAATAAAATAAAAACTAACGAAGGGATACATATAATGATCCTAAAACCTAACCCAGGGAATAAGGAGCAGGCTGGACAGAAGGGGTCTAAACAAAATGCAATTAGAAATGGGAGAGGGGAAAATGGAGGAGGACGAACTTCTTTGTCTCGTTTTAAATGAAGTTGTTATCTTGGAATATTAGAGGCCTAAATAGGGCCTCAAGACATAGTACTATTATTGATTATATTAGGAAAAATAATATTACTTTTTGTTGTCTTATGGAAACTAGATTGGCTACAGAAGACAAGCTGGAAAGGTTTGTTAACACAAACTTAAGAAGTTGGAAGAGCGGGAACAACTTTAATCTGAGAGGAGGAGGAAGAATCGATATTCTTTGGGATCCGGGTAAAATCATTGTGAGACATTGGAGGTTGGACAACAATACATTCATTGTAGAATAAAGTGTTTGACATCACAGTTTTCTTTCTTTGCTACTCGTGTCTATGCTTTGTACACAGTAAGTGAAAGAAAGGAATTATGGGATCACATTAATGTTATTGGCCAGAGTATCACCATTCCTTGGGTGAAAATGGGGGACTTTAACTGTGTGTGCTATCCACATGAGACGACGGGTAGTAGGGAACCTGTTAGTTACCTGATGAAAGACCTATTAGAGTGTAGAAATGCTCTGAATTTGGAGGATGCACCTGGGTGATACTCTTTTTCTAGAACGCATGAGCTCAAGAAGGTTCTAGAACGCATGCTAGCGGGGCCGGTAGAGGATTTCCGTGAGAGAGATGATGGTCTCTTGTTATTCCGTGATCGAGTGTGTGTACCATCTAATGATGAGCTCCGAAAGTCCATTCTAGAGTAGGCTCATTCATCGGCGTACGCTATGCACCCGGGAGGCACGAAGATGTACATGGATCTGAAAGAAAGCTACTGGTGGTCTAGTATGAAGAGGGAAATAGCAGAGTACATCAGTCGGTGCCTTACTTGTCAACAAGTTAAGGCAGAACATCAGCATCCAACGGGCTTATTGCTGCCACTTTCCATCCCTGAATGGAAGTGGGAACATGTGACTATGGATTTCGTGGTAGGCTTACCACTTTCCATCCCTGAATGTCTTCTTGCCGATTGTGAACCATTACACATCCTGGACTATCTTTTCTCTTGCTAAATTCTCAATCACTTTTCTGTTAGTTGTTTAATCATTTTATTTTCATTCATTTAAATTCCTTGCATCCATTTTAATTCAAGCTTTAATTTTCAGTTTCAAATCAAACAAATTCAAAATTCATTTTTTTAGTTAGATTAATTTAACTTTTATTTTTATTAATAGTTTTTCAATTACTTAGTTGCACTTTCCCCGTGGATTCGACCCTTACTTGAGCACTGTACTACTGTGACTCGTGCACTTGCGAGGACTTATAAATTGTCTATCAACAACAAAATGGAGTCGTTGAAAGGAAATATCAATCCTTTCTTAATATGGTTCGAAGCATGCTTAAAAACAAAAATGTTCCAAGAGAATTTTGGGCCGAAGCCGTGGATTGTGCGGTTTATTTGTCAAACCGAACTCCTTCTAGAATTGTTTGGAACAAAACCCCCGAAGAAGCATGGAGTGGAACAAAGCCCGGAATTGCCCACTTGAAAGTTTTTGGGAGTATTGCTTATGCTCATGTTCCGAATAAAAAAAGAAACAAATTGGATGACAAAAGTGAGAAGTTTATCTTTATTAGATATGATGCAAGAGCAAAGGGGTACAAGTTATACAATCCAAGGTAATGGAAAATTGTGGTTAGCCGCAATGTTGAGTGTGAAGAAGAGGATTGGACTCAAAAGGAAGAAGATTACAATTTCTTGCCTTACTACAATGAAGAAGAGGACCAAGAGCTGACCCATGAAGAGGCCACGAGTCCAACTCGACCATCACCCGAGCAAGAAGGATTCACAAGTGAAGAAACTCAAATGAAAGGCCGCCTCGCTTAAGGAGCATACAAGAGCTATATGAGGTAACTGAAAATATTAATGATCTAACATTGTTTTGTCTTCTTGCCGATTGTGAACCAATAGGTTTCGAAGAAGCGACTAACAACAAGAATTGGAGGGAAGCCATGGATGAAGAAATGAAGACCATCATGAAACATGACACGTGGGAATTGGCCACCCAAAGGGCACAAAGCAATTGGTGCAAAATGGGTGTTTAAAGAAAAGAAGAATGCCATGGGGAAAGTTGAAAGGTACAAAGCAAAATTGGTTGTGAAAGGGTACAACCAAAGAGCTGGCATCGACTATGAAGAGGTATTTGCTCCCGTTGCCCGTTTGGAAACTATAAGATTTTTAATTTCCTTGGCGGCTTAAAATAAATGGAAAATTTTCCAAATGAATATGAAATCCGCATTTTAAATGGGAAATTAGAAGAAGTTAATTTAGAGCAACCACCGGGATATAAAATAAAAGGGCATGAAGATAAAGTTCTAAAGTTTAAAAGGGCACTTTATGCTTTGAAGCAAGCCCCAAAGAGCTTGGAATACTAGAATTGACAAGTATTTCCAAGAGAATAATTTTATGAAGTGTCCTCATGAACATGCTCTTTATGTCAAAAAAGAGAAAAATGGAGATATCTTGATTGTTTACCTTTATGTTGATGATCTAATATTTATGGAAAATAATACCAATTTATTTGAGAACTTCAAAAAGGCAATGAATCAAGAATTTTAAATGACCAATATGGGATTTATGTCTTATTATTTGGGAATCGAGGTAAAACAAAGTCAAAGTGGAATTTTCATCGGTCAAGAAGGGTATGTGAAGAAAATTCTTGAGAAAAGGTGGTGCTCATAATGTTCAAGAGCTTAGTTTGGAGCTTACGATAAAAACACATTATCACAAAATGGTAGTCGGTCTTGAAAATTTGTCTGTTGACGGTCTTGTAGCCACCTCTTCCATTGCTTTGACTTCCATCACACCGTCTTGAATTTTAATTTCTTCCATTTTGAAAAGTCTCTTTATGCCTTAGGGTGAGCTTGGTTTGAAGGGCTTGCTCCAATGGCTCTTCTTTTATTCTCTTCTTGAATTTTTCTTCATGAGCTTGAAGAGATCCCAAGAGTTGATCGACCGTCATAGTTTCTAGATATTTAGATTCCTCTATTGCAACAACTATGTAATCATATTTTGGATCTAAAGATCATAGAATTTTTTCAACCACTCGGTTGTCTTTAATTTCTTCTCCATTTCTTCTCATTTGAATAACGACGCCTTGAACTCTTGAGAAATAGTCATCAATGGATTCTGAAGAGTGCATTCTTAATGATTCAAACTCACCTCGAAGAGTTTGGAGTCTTACCTTCTTCACCTTATCTACTCCTTTGAAAGAATACTCCAATATCTCTCAAGCTTCCGTACTTGTAGCTGCACACGCCACCTTGTAAACATATATAGCTTTATCCAAAGCTTGATGGATGATGGAGAGCGCCTTTTGATCTCTCTCTTTAATATTTCTAAAGGCATTCTTTTGAGTTTAATTTAAAGCATTGATGTCCTTGGGTTCCTCAAAGCCTTTCTCTATCATGTCCCATACATCTTCCGAATCAAGTATTGCATTCATACGAATGCTCCAATAATTATCATAAATAATTATCATAGTTCTCCTTTTTTAGTAGAGGAACTTGAAGGAAACCGGCCATTTTTGGGTGATGACCGAACGAGCTCTGATACCATTGTTGGAAATAAGTGAAGGAAGATTTGGGAAATTGGGAGGCTAAATTAGAAATATTATGAAAGAGATATTTGAACAAAGGGAAAGAAATCTTATATTAGAATGACACAATTTGCTTGATACAAAGTGATGGTAGGGGATCTATATTTATACTAATACAAAAATATCTATACTCTGCTATAATTAATGCATTCTAAACAATTAATGATAGGAGAGTTCTAGAAACCCTATATTCTAGAGAAGCTCTAGAATTTATCTTTCTATATCTCTACTACTTGAGCCTTTCCAATAATAATTTAATACTACTTGGCCGCACGTCGCCTGAGCCTAACTTGAGGGAAAGGCCGCTGGTTTGAGTCGGACTTTTTAATACCTAATAGAGTCATATGTTTAAATATGCAAGCAGAATTGTTAATATTAATCATACTTAGTTTCCTTTATATTTGCAAAATCAACAAAAATACCATGTACTGGCATTTGTTTTGCTTTCCAAAACATTACTCAAACGTGTCGTAAAATAATGATTTTGGAAGACCTAACAGCTCCTGACAATACATCTTAAGGTATTGATACATTTGAATTTTTTGAGTAGTCCTCCAAGCTGTGAAATAACGGGGAAAGGTGCTCTATTAGGAGCCCTGGATGTCTATTTATAATAAAAGAGTTTAATACAGAATAGGAAACAAATCTTCCTAATAATATTCTAGGAAACAAATCTTCCTAATAATATTCTAGGAAACAAATCTTCCTAATAATATTCTATTACACCCCCTCAAACTGTGCGGGAGATACAACGCGCAGGTTGTCTTTTAAAAAATGAAATTGCTGACTAGAAAGACTTTTAGTAAAAATGCCAGCTAACTGTAACTAAGTAGGGATGTACTTCACAATTAGATCTCCATGAGCCACACGCTCCCTGACGAAGTGATAGTCAATCTGAATGTGCTTGCTACGAGCATGCTGAACTGGATTAGCAGTGAGATAAGAAGCAGAAATATTATCACAAAATAGCTGGACCGGCGTAGTAATGGGATAGCCGAGCTCAAACAATATGGAACGTATATGCAGGGTATCCTGAACAGTGTAAGCAATGGCCCTGTATTCAGCTTCTGCAGAGGATTTGGAGACAGTAAACTGCTTTTTGGACTTCCAGGAGATAAGATTCGTGCCCAAGAAAACTGCAAAACCAGTTGTGGAGCGGGACGTATCTGGACAGCCAGCCCAATCAGCATCAGAGTAGGCAATTACACAAGTAGCTTGAGATGTAGGCTGAAGCCACAAACCATGCTCAATAGTCCCCTGCAAGTATCTAAAAATTCTCTTGACAGTAAAAAGACGAGTAGTACAAGGAGCATGCATAAACCGAGACACTAAATGCACAGCATAGGTAATGTCAGGTCGTGTCAAAGTTAAATATTGTAATGCACCAACCATACTACGATACTCAGTAGCATCAGCAAGAAGTTCCCCATCAGTGAGGGATAAAGATGTGCGAGTAGCAAGCGGAGTGCGGACAGACTTGAGAGTATGGAGATGAAATCGAGATAGAAGATCAGAAACATACTTATGCTGGGATAGGAACAAACCTTTATCTGAGCGGACAGTCTGGACTCCTAAAAAATAATGAAGATCACCAAGATCCTTCATAGCAAAATGCTGAGCAACAAGCTGAATAAAAGATGTGATAGCCACAGAAGAATTGCCAGTAATAATGATGTCATCAACATAAAGTAATAAATAAATGACATTATTATTCTGACGAAAAATAAACAATGAATTATCAGACTTGCTGCATGTGAAATGATGAGAAAGTAGAAAGCTACTAAACCTATTAAACCATGCCTGCGGGGCTTGCTTGAGCCCATAAATGGCTTTTCGCAAACGACATAAATGATTAGGAAATGAGGGATGAATAAAGCCCCGCGGTTGACGCATATATACCTCCTCAGTTAGATTATCATGCAAAAAGGCATTTTTAACGTCCAACTGACGAATAACCCATCCAAGAGAAATAGCAAGAGTAAGAAGAATACGAACTGTGGTGGGTTTAATAACCGGACTAAAAGTTTCAGAGAAATCCACACCTGCCTGTTGATTAAACCCATGGGCAACTAATCGAGCTTTGTGAAGCTCAATAGAACCATCAGAATTATACTTAGTCTTATAAATCCACTTAGAGCCCACAACATTTTTAGTGTGATCAAACGGAACTAAATCCCAAGTATTATTTGAAATAAGAGCATTAAATTCCTCCGCCATTGCCTCACGCCATTTTAACTGTTTGTTAGCCTCTGAATAACAAGTTGGATCGGCTGATAAAACAACTGTGTTTAAATTAAAAATCATTTTGGGTTTAAAAATGCCCGACTTAGCCCGAGTTTGCATTGGGTGACAATTAGCCAACGGACCAGAGGAAGATGTATCTGGTGCACTGGCCGGTAGCTGCGGTTGCACATTTGGAGCATTATCAGGACGGGTGAAGACTGCTTCAGGCGCATCTAATTTGTGGGAAGGAGTCGCATACCGAGAGGCAGGTAAGGGAGTGCCTGGAGGTGGAGTCGGGTGAGGGCTTGGTATTGATGGGGTTCGGCAATTATAATTTGGTGTGGAGGGAGGTGTTTGAGCATTGGTTTGCCCTGGTGAAGTAGGAAGAGCTGAGGGCGTGGGGATTGTATTGGAGTGTTCAATGGGTGAAGTAGGAAGAGCTGAGGCCAGGAGTATTTAATGTAATATTACCAATATTAGCTATGGGAAGTTTAATGCCATTTGCAACACTAACAGACATGGAGTCAAAATAAGGGGATTTATTTGACAAAATACCTTCAGACGAGATCATGTGAGCAGAAACTCCGAAATCCGGATACCACAAAGCATCATTAGTTTCCCCAGTTGGAGCAATCAAGGCAGGTGTAGCAGACTGTGAAAAGCAAGACGGATAGTGTAATGCAGAATGACCTGCAGAGAAATAAATTTGACACACAACCGGGGATGGAACTGACCCAAGAATACCCTCAGCGGATGGGAAACCTGCATAATGTGAGTAAGTACCAGAATTAGATTAATATAATCGAATGGGATTTAAATTTATAACCTGTTTGGTAAGTCTCACTTTCGATTCATCAACTACTTTTTTATGAAGCACATCACTTTTAAGTTTTAACTTCACATAATGGATTGTGCATTAACTAAAATCGTTTAAAGTTGCTTTTCTAACAAGTTAACTCAAATCGCTGAAGAAGATTATTTCAGCATATTTTCATACAATTTTTCTTTCTTATTATTAGATTTTTTTTCATAATTCAGATTTAAGAAGATTCAGCTAATTCTATCGATTCTGTCAAAATTTCATCAATTTCAATTGATCCAGCCGATTTAGCGAACTTTTTTTTTGGGGAGGGGATGTAAATATATAGATAGTAACCAAGTTTATGTACATCGTATGAGCAAAATTTGAGGCATATCCAAGCATGGATACCCTATAACATCAGAAGCTGTTTAAGCTTAACCTCTAAGTACTATCATCTAGCAAAACAATAGTCATCACCTCATGACAAAAAACAGACTAGTTTATACTTCAAAAAGGGGTTATATTACCAAACGAGCTCTAGCTTAGAGGTGCTTTAGACCCCAATTGTTAGTATTTTTGCGGATTATTATCATTATCAACTAACTTTTTATAAAATAATGAAGTTTTGATTTTAAGATTATAGTTAGTCATCTCTCACAAATAGTTGAGTTGGCTGAAAGAAACTATTTTAGATCATATTTTTGCTTTAATTATGGATAGAATATATTGTCGATAACTAGATGCGGAGTACATCTTTTCACAACTAAGCCAATTCAACATTATTAAGGGCTAAATATTATTTTATTAATTAATTTTCAATCACAACTAGGTTGTTTTTAATTGGACTGAAAATTTATGATCTGATCTGGTAAATATTTGGTTTCTGTGTATTTTATAACAATTCAATTATAATCTAGTCTGGTCTGATCTCGTTTACGACTGAATACAATCTAAGTAAAAACATTGCTAGTAAGATTTGGGTAGTTGTAATTTAGTAAGATTGTCATAATTTTATTACTAAATAAAAGTATTGACAGCATTGAACTTCGAACATGACGATATTTTCTAAAGTTAGCAAGAATCACTTCTACATAAGAAATGAAAACACGATAATCTTATTTAATTTAGAATTCTCAAACGTTTTTACTCCGGAATTTTCCCTTTTAAAAATCTTCTTTTCTGAGGGAAACACGTTTTAAAAATCTGCATACATGTCTCACACAGTCACACTCTCAATCACATATGGAAGTTCCATCATGGAACGATGTAACATTACATCAGTATATCTATATTTGTATAATAAGACCAAAAATACTACCTCCGTCCCTTAAAACTTTGTCAAAGTTGACCGGCACGAAGAATAATAAAGTAAAAACTGTGTGGTTGAGGTTTGTGCAGAGGAGAGAGAAATAACAGAATCCACAAAATAATTGATTAAAAGGGAAAGTGGCAAAGTTTTTTGGGACGTCCCAAAAAGGAAAGATGGCAAAGTTTTAAGGGACGGAGGGAGTATGTATTTTGTATTCATTGCACGGCAGAAGTTAAATTACAAACGTGATCCTTTTGATACCGTCAGTTTATTATTCATAATCGAAGACCCAGATCTAAAAAAAAAAACAAAAAAAGGATGACCCCATCCCTGAGGGCCCCCAACCCCGATCGGACGGTACGTTGGAAGGATGTAAGTTGAGCTATAATCCCAATCTAACAGATAGAGAGTGAGGCTCTGTCCCCGGTACTTGCAGAGGCCCTATGCATTTTTTAGCATACTAACCCCTCATCGCAGTTGTCGGGATTCAAACTCGTGACCTAACTCTTGTGACACTCCCTCACTACCAGTTGAGCTACGTCAACCCGTATCGAAGACCCAAATCTAAAAGCTATAGCCGATTAATTTATTGCCCTGTCGTCCGATATTAAAAGGACCACCGCCGGCCAAATGGCAGCGTCCTATTTAGGCTAATTTCTGTACGAAGTATACATGCATCCCAGTATCCCACTACAGCCAAATTAAAAGGGCCCCAATGTTTGAGAATTAAGATTTAATATCATGCTCTAGTCAGCCATAGCATCGTATTTATAATAAAGAATATTAAGAGTAATTACACATAAGTCTTTATAATTACACTATTACACTCACTTAATCTGTGCTGAAAAAATCACGTGCAGATTGAAACGTAAAAATTCAAAACGCTGACTAGATAAATTTTAAGTCATAAAATTTTAGTAAAAATGTCAACTAATTGATATTGAGTAGGGATGTACTTGATAACCAGATCTCCATGTGCTACATGTTCTCGAACAAAATGGTAGTCGGTCTTGATATGTTTGTTGTGGTCATGCTGGATGGGATTTACAGTAAGATAGGAGGCGGACACATTATCACAGAATAGTTGAACATGTGCTGAAATCCGAATGTCCGTGTCAAGGAGTAATGACCGAATTAATAAAGAATCCTGGACTGTGTAGGAAACCGGTCTGTATTCGGCCTCGGTGGAGGATTTGGAGAGAGTGAGTTGCTTTTTGAAACGCCAAGAAATAAGGTTGCCACCTATAAAAACAGCATAGCCCATAGTGGATCTACAAGAATCTGGACAACCTGCTCAATCAGCATTTGAATAAGCAACAACCACTGAAATACTCTGCCGGGATCGAAGCCAGAGGTCGTGTGAGGAGGTGCCCTGTAAATACCTGTAAATTCTTTTCATAGTAGCAAGATGAGTAGTACCGGGAGCATGCATAAACTAAGAAACCAAATGTACGACATAAGTAATAGTCAAGTATTGTAATGCACATACCATACTGCAATACTTAATGCCATCACTGAGAAGATCCCCATCCGTGAGAGACAAAGTAATGAGATCAGTAACATGTTTATGTTGAGACAAGAACATACATTTGGGAGTGCGAAGAGCTTGAATGTCAAGAGAATAGTGAATATCCCCTAGATCTTTCATGGCAAACTGACTGGATAATAAACTCATAAAGTGGTGGACTAATAACAGAGAACTATCAGTGATAAGAATGTCATCTACATATAGTAAGACATAAATGATGCGCAAAAGATAGCAGTATGTAAACCTAGACGAGTCATTTTGACTCTGAGAGAAGCCATGGGAGAGTAAACAACCGCTAAATTGATGAAACCAAGCCCGTGGAGCTTGTTTCAGACCATAGAGAGCTTTCTTAAGCTTACAGACATGAGAAGGAAAATTGGGATGAATACAACCTAGCGGTTGACGTGTGTATACTTCTTCAGTAAGGTGACCGTGAAGGAAGGCATTCTTGACATCTAATTGACGAGCCGTCCATCCCAAGGAAATAGCTACAGAGACAACAAGAAAATCGTGGTGGGTTTAACCATCGGACTAAAGGTCTCAGAAAAATCTACCCCAGCCTGTTGATTAAATCCTTGAGCTACCAAACGAGCCTTGTGACGCTCAACAGACCCATCAAACGGAGACAAACCACGCAAATTTGGTGTGGGCAAACGATTTATGATAAACATAGTCGTGTAGAGGGCATCAACCCAAAAAATAGATGGCAGTTGCACCTCTATAAGCATAGTGCGAGAGAGTTCAAGGATATGTCGATGCTTACGTTCAGCCACACCATTTTGTGTGGGCGTATCCAGACAAGATTTTCTAAAAAGAATACCACATTTAAGAAAATGATTTTGAAAAGAAGAATTCACAAATTCAACCACCACCATCGTATTTAATTTTGCAATCAAATAAATTATCAACTGAGTTTTGAAAATTGCAAAAAAAAAGACTAAACACTTCAGATTTCTTATGCATAGGATAAACCCAAGTATACCTAGAAAAATCATCAACAAAAGATACTATCAATAAGTACATAGTATTTAAAACCTAAATTGGATAACACGGGCGATTGTCAAACATCTGAATCAATAAGTTGTAAAGGAGCAGTAAAGTTATGAGTAACATCATGAAAAGGAAGGCGATGAAACTTGCCCAGTTTACATGAAACACAATCATGAGAAAAAGTACTAGTGCTAGAAATTAAATTATATTTCCTAAGTGAAGAAAGAACATCATCCCCACAATGACCAAGACGTTTGTGCCAAACTGGATTAGAAACAAGTGTAGTCTTTAAAGCAAGAGATGAGGAAGTCGACTGGGTTGCTTTAAAGGGATAAACCGAGTCTCTATTGGATGCCTGGAGGAGTATGGCTCCCGTATGATTCTCCTTAACAAAAAAAGAATTTTTATTAAAAATAACAGAGCAATCATTATCCACACACAAACGTTTAATAGACAATAAATTATATTGAAGGTGCGGAACATGATAGACTGATTTTAATAAAAGCGGGTGACTGGCAGTAGATAAGCTAGCATTACCAATGTGAGAAACGGGGAGATTGTGACCACTAGCGACACGTACAGAAAACAGACTAGTATAAGTGAATTTATTAATTAAAATACCTTCATGCGGTGTCATATGAGCTGAGGCACCGGAGTCCGGGTATCACACAGACGCATTTGTTTCAGTTGTAGGAATAGCCACCAGAGCTGGTGTACAATTGGTGAATCTAGGACATGATATGGCTGAGTGACTTGGGGAATAACAAAGCTGACAGACAACAGGCGGTGCAAGATATTTATAATTTTGCTCAAAGATGAGAACCCTGCAATGTTGGGGTGAGTAACACAAGTAGATAAAGCATTTATACTATATCAAACTTTTCCAAAATTTCTTGATCCCATACCTGGAAACCCGGTCTGTGGAGGACCCCGAGGAGGACCCCCTGCTACCACACATACGATCCAGGAGCTGTAGCAAACGGTGGATGTCTAGCCGCCTGTTGGTTGTCGTAGCTGGCCTGTTGTCCACCATAGCTGGACCCCTGCTGGCCGGTATAGCCTCTGCCTCGTCCACGGTGCCCTCGTGTTCGGCCGCCGCCACAAAAATCCCTGAAACCGTTACCACATGCGGGACCACTCCCTCGGCCTGAAGGGCGTGCTGCAAAAGGTTGGTCATGTGCCACAAATGCTTGATGTCCGGTATGTATAATTTGCGAGCGAAGATAAAGTGCCCTTTGTTCCAAAGCCATTAATTATGGTCGCAAAGATTCAAAAGTGAAGATATCCGGGAACAAATTGACCGAAGTAATAACAGACTCATATTCAGGCCTCAAACCAAGAATACTAGACTGAAGGAGTTCACAATTAGTGACTGGAGAATTAATGGAATTTAGTGCATCAGTCAGAATAATGATCTCTCTCAAATAATCATGCATGGATTGATCTTCCTTTCTCTTTAAACTAGAAAAAAGTCTTTTAAGCTCCATGGACCGAGGTATACTGGTTGCCATAAATCGAGTCTCCAATCTTTCCCAAATTAAGGCAAAAAAATGAAGAGTATGCACTTCAATTAAAATATTGCGAGACAACCACAACCTAACACTTTGATCAATTTTAAGCCAGGAATGATATTCGGGATTTGGGGAATCCCGATTAAGGGCATAAAAAATGGATTGTGATGGTGCAGGGATAGAGCCATCAATAATTCCCAACAGACCATGGGACACTAAAAAAATTCAAACTGATTACGCCAAGGGAGATATTCTTCCACCATGGAAAACCACTTATGAACATAGTAGGAGTACCATTAAGCAGACAGTCCCAGCATATAGCGCAATGCGAATTCAGATTTCACAATATTACTAATGTTGGGGGTTGAGAACGTTAACTGGGACGATAAATGAGATGAGAGAATGACATTTACCGTAGAGGTGGGCTGCCAGAGTGGTGGAGGAAACTCGAATGGTGACCAGCCAGGCTGATTGGAGAAAGTAGGGTGGGAAAAATGTGTGGAGATGGACCGGCCGAAGGTGAAGCAGTGACTGGCACGGGCTGTGGAACCTGCAATGGCAGCGTGGGCAGTGGCGGATGTGTTTAATTCAGAGGTGTTCACGTGAACACCCAAAATTTTGAAAATAAAATGTAAAAATACACGTATAGAATTTATGTAATGATTTATATATGATAAAATGGAAACTAATAATCTAACCTTTCAGAGGTCTTCTTACAATAGTCCCATCTTTTCATTATTCATGAATAATCCAACATTTGCACTCCATCTTCATTCATTGGTCCCTGATCGATTTATGATCTGTTATTCCAAATTATTTTCTTATTTTTGTAAAACATTATACCATAATTCTCACCTTATGATCAAAGTAAAAACTAGCTAAGTAGCTATGGAGCTTTTCATACCCAGGGATGGAGGTACTATACGTATAGGGGTAAGGGATAGGGGTGGGAAAAACCGAACCGAAATTCAGAAACCGGCCTTGGCCCGGCCCTAATTATGATATCAGTTTGGGTAATTTTGTCCAAGTGTGATGAATTTGGTCCTATGAAACGCAGTTAACATTTTCGGTCCTATTTGTGCACATCAATATACTTTTAGTCGGTCATTAACTCTTATTTATTTTACTGACTTTACGATTGAATTTGAAACTAAAATTTTGTCGATATGAAGCACATTCTCTCGAGGTTCAAACGGAGGAGACCGGAGAGTCTTTGTCCAAATGGCTGAACAGGATCTTTGCTGCATATGCATATTAAATGCGATGCAAACTTATTCTGCAACGAATAATTTCATACGTGGTATGTGTGTCACGTTGTACTCCGTATTATGATTTATGATGATATTGCCGTTTTTCAAAGAGCATTTAATTTAGGAATGAAGCATCAAATGTATTTTAATTTAATGTGTAGCCTTAGATTTTCCGCTGTATTAATGAATTTTTGCTGTTCGGCGAAGAAATTGTGGTACGTAGTATAGTAGTGAGTGTATCCTTGTACTTTCAGTAGTATCGACATATGAGTCTACAGAAACTTTTACGCTGGACCAAATAACAACCTGGGAATAATAATTTCAAGATATTAGGGATTTTGAATCTATATAAAAAAAGCTGCATACAGAGTTTTAATTTAAACTACCAATTAATAGAATCATTCTGGTCACATTTCAAAATAAGCTAATTAGTATTTTTATGGGGGGAAAGTGAAAATATATTTATGATGTTTAAATCCTAGTGCAAGTATGTCCTCCATGTCTTTAATTGAATTGAAATTTTCTAGTCTACTATGATCAACAGGGCCGGCCATAGGGGGAGTTACCCTAGACAAGTATCTAGGGCCTCCAAATTTTAGGGGGCTCTAATTTATAAAATAAGTTTATTAATATTATTTAGGAGACTTTGTCCGGCCGTCAACATTTGGGATAGTTTCCTTTGTAATTTTTTGATGATATTTTTTTAGAATCTTATTCATTATGTCTAGTTTATTCATACCAAATATCACCTAAAAATTCAATCGGGAAGACATTCAAATGAATTCTTGAAGATAACTGCGCAGTTAAAAGCGCAGTTATCTTCAAGAATTTATTTGAATGCCTTCCATGTTGAATTGTTAGCTGAAATTTGGTATCAGTAAACAAGACTTAATGAATAAGATTCTCAAAAAATTGCATCAAAAAATTCCACCAGGAACTGCCCCAAATGACGACGGCGGGACAAAGTCTCTTATACAAGGGCTTATTTGACCTTTTTGGTTAGTATGTGGGCTTATTTGCTCCTTTTTCCTTTTTTTCTTTGTTGGCTAGGGCAGTAGGGCTAGGGATTTAGGATAATGAGTATTCTAAATATATTTGAATGCTTATTGAATAATTGAAATTGTAATTTGTTATTTTGATTCATCGAAATATTGAACATACTTATAATTTTTTATATTTGATTAAATTTAGTGAATTAAATTTATATCTATGAACCATTAACTTATATTTAGTGATAGTATTATTTTGAATGAAATTTTATGTTTTGTGATGATTGGAAAATAAAATATGAATCAAGATGTACAAAGACAAAGAAAAAAATTAAGAAATGATTTGGTCATGATTAGATACACACTATGAAATAATCATAAAAGATTGGGTCAAAACTACCTGATAGAAGTATCCATTTGAGATGCTTTCGGGAAGAGAATATTTTGATGATATTTTGTGAGCGTGCTTTGATGAAGTGTAGATTATGTCCACCAAATTTCAGTTTAAAGTTCAAGCAAGGAGTGAATTAAATAAATTATGGAAAAACAGAATGTTTTTATAGACATTTTGGCGCAATATTTTTCAATAACTTATTTAACTGACTTCCCGATTCAATTCTAAACTAGATTTTGGTATAAATAATTTGCACATCATCAATGACATTTTCACAAAATTTAATAAAAAAAATACACACAGAAGCATCTCAAACATATATAGGGACTGGATGGCAGATCATGTCGGTAGTTTTGACAAGATTATTTTTCATGAAACAACTTAATATGAAAATATAGAGAAACTATTAATAATATTTTTACTTAGCCAAAATTGACTTTTCAAGTCAATGACGTCTAACTTTGACCGATTATATGTTTATATAGAGAAAATATTAATAATATGAAAATGATATGAAAATGTTCTTTGTTCAAAATACTATCATAAAAGTATAAATTATTAAATTTTACATAAATATATTAGTTTAAATAATTGATCAAAGTTTACCACCTTTGACTGGAAAAGTCAAAGATTACTAAGTAAATTGAGACAGAGAGAGTATATGATTAAAAATATGACCAAATATATTTTATTCCTCAAATAGATCGATCTTATATAGTCATACTAAAAATAATTTTATTAATTTTTTCCAAAATATGATTGAAGAAGATTTATTTTGATAATAAGACAATGATATTTCTATTTCAATTTTATTTTTAATTTATTTTAGTTCTATTTAGGAAATTTTCTCTTTATTGTTTATGTTCTTTCTTAGCCCCTATGACTAAATGTTGACTCCGTCCCTTGTTCACACCTAAAATCAATCCAGAACCATGCCATTCTCATCATCCCTTTTAATTTTCATACTCTTCCCGAGTGATTTCGAATACCAAGACAAATTCGAATTCTCAAATATGCCTTCCACAAACCCTCAGATTGGTTATCATCCACTTTTATAAACATCCTCCAAAAATTCTCAAAATCTGTGGCCACTTTTAAAAAAATGCAAGAGAACCTTGAGAGACATATCCTCAGTTTTTAGTCACGCAACACTACAAGATTCTGTTAAAATGACAAAGGCTTCGTTTGTTTTTCAGCGGATCGGTAGCTAAGCGCTGCATTTTGCAGCGTTTTGCTGTTTAATTAATCAGCGGTTTGCTCCATCTGCTATTATCCAAACGAAGGCAAAGAGCCATAAATTAGAACAGGTCCCATATCAATTTGATGATAAAACATAAAAAAATACCTCTTTTCTCCAATTTCTCTCATAGAATCCCTTTACTAGTTTGGTGATACTCTGAATTTCACCGTCTTTTGGGTGATAAATGTACTCACCAGTGATCAATGTGGTGTTACGTTGTATCTTAGTGACTGTATTAAAACTTCTTAAGAACAACGAATTAGTTTAATTTTACTCAGTAGTAATCATGAAAGTATAATCATAGTATGTGGTCCCATTTCTATCAATAAATTTTATTTTAATAACATGTTAGAAAAAAAGGAAATTTACCCTAAATAAGAGTAAATGAGGTTTGTAATTCCAAAGTGGGACTACTATGTTTTTCTTCCCGAAATAAGTGTTTTTACGGCCATGTATCAAAAATACTGTCATAATTAAAAATAATGACATTAATTATAATAAACATTGTCATGTTAAATGCATTTTACTGTAACTATTTGATAGTCACACCTACAAGATGACAGTAAATATTGTCATGTTGGTCCTATTTCAGGAATAAAAACATAGTAATCCTATTTTGGAATTTCAAACTTCATTTACTCCTATTTTGGGAAATAAAAAAACGTTAGTGACTGTATGAAATTTTTCCTCCGATTTAAGTCTAAACACATTGCACAAGTAGTTGTACATAAATAATTGTTCATATAGCAATACTTATTAGAATATAATGTATTTTTTTAATATTTTATTAATGAATTAAAAGACTGTGTTCTTCTTCCATTAGATCTTGGTACGTGGTTGGTGCGAAGTGGTTTTCCGTTTGCTTTCTACATGGACTAGCAGCTGATCCGTTTGACTTTTAGTCTGTAGGACCTAATAAGTCCAACAAAGCAGGAGAAGGCGTTGTCCTATCAGTCTTTCACACTTAATTAGTACTATAGCAAGTAATTAAATCCAATGAGAAATTATAAGAGTGAGCAATTACTTCGAACTCGCTATAGATTAATCAAATAAACCGTATTAAACAACATAAAACTTTGTGCATCTAATATTTAATCCCTCTATCCTTATTAAAGTCTCATTACATGATTTATACCAGTTGAATTAGCACTTTTATTAAATAATGACCAAACATAACGTAAATGAAGGGAGTTGATAAAATGTGACATTTTTTACTTTAATGATTATAATAGTGAATTGAGTGACCTTGATTCTCTTCATATTTATATTTGTTGGGATAATGGGCCAGGCCCAGTACCGTCGACCCGATATCCCTGAGCTTGGGTCCAACAAGGCCCGGGACGCGGTCTCACGAGCGGGAATCGTCCCGGGCTCATTTACTTATTTGTCGGGCCGGTTCGCCCATTAGCTGGAAGATGTATTATTAATTTGGGTCCATGTAGATTAGATTTTGGGCTTATGATGGATGCCTATAAATAGGCCATCAACCCCCATGTATTGGCTACGTTACTTTTACTATATCGAAGTGCTGCCGTTTTCTCTCTCAAGCTATTTTCTACCAATATTGGTGCTTTCATTGAGAGCTCTTTCTCATTCTTTCGGTAGAAACTTTGAAGAAGAAGATGGCAGGGACATCAAGGTAGGAGCGAGTTTCCGTCCACATCGAGCGCTCGGAGCAGCCTAATGGCAGTCGCGTGAGGAGCAAAGTGGTGAGGCCGACGGGGGACATGAGGAACAGCTTGTCGAGCCCTGGAGACTTGAGAGGTTCGTTGAACCAGAGTCGTGAGAGGCGATCCGTCCACGATCGCCTCGGAGGCAGGCATCGTGCTGCTCCGCAGCGGAACCCGACACCGCTGGATGCGGGGGTGCATGCACTCCAGGAAGCCACTCGTGCGATTGAGGATTTGGCCCGGGGATTCCAAAGACTATGCCGCAGGAGACAGAGCACGAGCGTTCGAGTCATACCACCCCTAGAGACTGGGAAGCATCCTCCGGGCGGTATCAAGGGATCCCGTAGGGAGGCATCCCAGCGAGTTGAGCAGCTACGGCATCCCGGAAGGAGGCCTTCCCGGCAACCCTCGTTACGGGAAGGAGGGGATGATTCGTATTATCACTCTCGTCAACCAGGTAGGGGGGTTGGCTCCCTGGGTGGATGCCATGCTGAATCCAGTCATCACACAGGCGAGAGGATTGCAGAGTCTTCTGCGCAAGTTCAGCTTCGCACTGGGTGCGCGCAAGCGGAATCAACACCCGACGCGGTGAAAGATCTAAGGCTAAGACTGGACGAGATGAGGAGAAGGGTCATCGGGGGAGAGCCATACGTGGCCGACCTCCATATCCCGGAACCATTCACTCGTGCAGTAATGGAAGCGCCGTTGCCAAGGGGATACAAACCTTGCAATGTCAAGACGTACAAGGGCACTTCGGACCCACGACACCATATATCACGATATATGTCGTATATGGTCATGATGGGATATGAAGATGTCATACGATGTAGGGGATTCGCAGCTACGCTAGACAGCCCGGCTCGAGAATGGTATGACATGTTGCCCGACGGAAGCATTGGAAGTTTCAGGGAGCTGGCCAGGCATTTCCTCCTAAGGTTTGCGGGTTCCCGCCATGTGAAGAAGAATTTCAGTCACCTGTTCAGTCTAAAGCAGGGACACCTATGGCACGGAGTTGTTACATGAAGGCATGCAAGCAGCTCGAGCAAAAGGACCTTAGGGTCCACACTATCAACAGTAAAGCTATGAAGTACGAGGAGGGTCAGCTCCGCGCTGAACCCACCTCCGAAGTTGAAGAGGTTCAACTCGATCCCAAACACCCGGATCGAAAAATAAAGATCGGTGCGGGGCTCCCAGTCGAGCTGAGGAAGAAGATTATCCAAGCTCTGATCACGTTCAGTATGGTCTTTGCATGGGGACCTGAAGATATGCCGGGATTGGACAGGAGAGTGGTCGTTCACAGGCCAGCAATTGACCCGACAGTGAAGCCGGTCCAGCAGAACAGGAGGCTCGGTAGAACGAAGAGAGTCCGTGAAGAAGGAGTTGCTATGCTCTTAGACATTAAACACATCCAGGAGGTATTGTACCCGGAGTGGCTGGCAAACGTGGTCCTTGCATCGAAGCTGCCGACTTGGAGGATGTGTGTTGATTACACGGATCTCAATAAGGCATGCCCGGTGGACCCTTTTCCTCTACCTAACATTGACCAACTAGTTGCCGGGACGGCCGGGTGCGAGCTCCTCAGCTTCATGGACGCATTCCGGGGATTTCATCAGATATTCATGCATGAAGATGACACGGAGAAGACCTCGTTCATTACCCCGGAAGGAGTCTTCTTCTATTTAGTCATTGGTTTTGGTCTGAAGAACTCTGGGGCAACGTATACAAGGATGGTCGCAAAGGTGTTCTGGACCGTGCTGGGAAGGAACACGGAAGCGTACGTTGGTGATATGTTCGTCAAGAGCACTCGGGCGACAGACCATGCAGAAGACCTCGAAGAGATCTTCGGCATCATGAAGTCAGTTCAGTTGCGCTTGTACCCGAAAAAATGTACCTTTGCCGTTCAAGGGGGCAAATTCCTATGATACATGGTCACGCGGAGGGGGATTGAGCCAAATCCCAAGAAGGTAAGAGCGATACTTGACATGGAGCCCTCGAGATCGGTGAAGGAAGTCCAGATTCTCACCGGTCAGCTGGCAACCCTCGGACGCTTCATGTCTATGTCTGCCGAGAAATCTCTACTTTTCTTCCAGGTCTTGAAGAAACAGAATGGCTTTGTGTGGACTGACGAGTGCCAGAGAGCCTTTGAAGATTTGAAGAAATACCTCCTCTCTGAACCTTTACTCAGCAAGCCGGAGAGGGGGGAGACACTGATCCTATACCTCAGAGTTTCTCAGGGCGCGATCAGTTCCGTTCTGGTTCGCGAAGAGGACGGTGTTCAACACCCCGTCTATTATGTGAGCAAGGCTCTCCAGAATGTCGAGCTCCGATACACTCTGCTTGAGAAGACTATCTATGCAGCCTATGTCACGGCAAAAAGTTGACTCATTATTTCCAGGCACACCTGGTCAGAGTCTTATCGGAGAAACCTCTAGGTGCAGCGTTAAGGACTCCCGAAACAACTCGGGTCGTGAAATGGTCGATGCTGCTCAATCAATACGAAGTAGACTTCCAACCCTGATCATCCATAAAAGGGCAGGCGCTCGCCGATTTCATCGTTGAGTGCACGGCGAGAGAAATGACAGAGAAGCAAAGGGACGGTGAAGAACAGTGGTGGACACTAGCGACTGACGGGTTATCCAGAAGTAAAGGTTGCGGCGGTAGAGTTGTCCTCATTTCGCCTGAGGGATTCCAAGACGACTATGCTTACCGTTACTTGTTCAAAGTATCAAATAACGAGGTAGAGTATGAAGCTCTACTATCCGGGCTACGACTAGCTGCGGCCATGCGAGCAGAATGGATTACAGTGAAGTGCGATTCCCGGCTGGTCATATCCTAGGTCAAGGGGAATTTCGAAGCGAAGGAAGAAAGGATGGAAAAGTACATGGATGCTATCAGGGAACTGCTCGGGTTGTTTAAGAAAACAGAGCTAGTTTGCATTTCGCGGAACCAGAGTGCAGATGCAGACCTCCTGTCTCGTTTGTCACAAGGATTACCCGAGCACATCTTCAAGATTGCTCGAGTTGAGGAGATGACGACATCGAGCATAGCAGCTTCTCCGCCCATCACCGTCCTACCTATACATCGGGTAGCTCGGAGTTGGGTGGACGATTTCCTACAATACATAGCCGATGGAACCTTGCCTGACCTGGAAGAGGAAGCAAAGCTCGTCCGGAGACGAGCTCCAAGCTACGTTGTTTTGGACGGCAAGCTGTACAAGCGAGCCTACAACGGAACACTTCTCAAATGTTTAAGACCGCATGAAACAGACATGATCATTGCGGAACTTCACAGTGGAGTGTGTTCGGCTCACTAGGGAGCATGCACGTTAGCCATGAAGGTCGTCCTGCAGGGATATTTCTGGCCTACGATCATGAAAGATTGTGCAAATTTAGCAAGAAAGTGTGATACATGTCAGAAGTTTTAGAAGAGTCCGGGAAGGTCGACAACGATGTATACACCTATCAACACTGCTTTACCATTCACCCGTTGGGGAATAGATTTGGTCGGTCCCCTACCGAACGGATCCGGGAATAGGAAGTTCATCATCGTAGCCATGGATTACTTCACCAAGTGGGTTGAGGCTGAACCACTGGCAAGCATAACACACCTCCAGTGCAAGAAGTTCATTTGGAAAAACATTTTCTGCCGGTTCGGGGTTCCCTTGAAAATCATCTCCGACAATGGGAGACAATTTGACTGCGAACCATTTAAACGATTCTGCTCAGAGTGGGGTGTGGAATCCAGTCGGGTGTCTGTTTGCTATCCCCAAGCAAACGGACAGGTGGAGAACACCAATCACACAATTGTGGATGGTCTCCAAAAGAAGTTAGAAGCACTTGGAACTGCCTGGGTTGAGGAGCTGAACAACGTGTTGTGGACATTTCGAACGACTCCTAGGAAGGCGACGGGAGAGACTCCTTTTTCTCTATGTTATGGTTTCGAAGCAAGGGCACCCTTTGAAGCAGTGATCCCTAGTCGACGGGTAGAAGAATTTGAGCCGGTTAGCAATGAGGAAAGACTTTGAGCCGAACTCCACCTCATTGATGAAGTGAGGGACTGGGCATTCATCAAAGCGGAGAACTACCGCAGACAAGTAAAGACATATCAAGACAGCAAAGCGGTACCTCGAAGCTTCGACGTAGGAGACTATGTGCTAAGACGAAGGAAGGCAAGCAAACCAACCGAAGGGGGGAAACTCTCCATCAAGTGGGAGGGCCCCTACGTCATTGAAGCCGTGGTCAGACCAGACCCGGGACGTACAAATTAAGGACCACGACAGGGAAGCTTCTTGATCGTGTGTGGAATGCAGAGCACCTTCTTAAATTTTATCAGTAATGCTATGTAATA